ACCGTAACAATGCCTCTCAGGAACATTAATTATTCTTGGTAAGCAACTCCAGTGTATATTTGGCCTTGTGTTTTAGGTTATTGTCTTGCTGAAAAGTGAATGCATCTCCCAGTGTCTGGTGAAATGCAGACTGAACCAGGTCTTTCTCTAGGATTTTGCCTGTTCTTTGCTCCATTACGTATTTTTTTATCCTGAAAAATTCCCTAGTCCTTGCTGATGACAAGCATACCCATAACATGATGCAGCCATCACCATGCTTAGAAATATGGAGAGTGGTACTCAGTGATGTGTTGTGTTGGATTTGTCCAAAATATAACACTTTGTATTCAGGACAAAAAGTGTATTCCTTTACCATTTATGGCTTGCCTCTTATTTGCTTGTCGTCCCCTTATGCCATAATCTGTACATCTCAGTTGTCAGTAGAAACCACATTTGTTTAAGCAAGTCAGCCATATCAGCTATGTTTTTTGAAAGGCAGTAAATGAGGCTGAATGAACTGTTTCACTGCCAGACAAGGCTCCGCTGATAGCCAGGTGTAGCAGTGGTAAGGTGTTGGGACTGCTGTTGGGACTCTGCTGTTGGGACAGCTTTATGTAGGCCCTAACAGTTTGTAGGCACTGTTTGTCACCGTTATAGTGCAATTTATGTATTGTTTAGTGTTGTGTTGTGTTGTGTAGTGGCTTTTCTGGCATGCATCCCCAATTTTTTGTTTTTGTTTGCCCCACCAAGATTTACATGCTAAAATCGCCACTGATAATAAGGCTTACGTGGAGAAAATCGGACCTCTCTGAAATGAAAATGGATGGCCCTCCGTTGAGCAAAATACATTTAACCTAAACCCTCCCTGAACACTTGAAAAAAAAACAAGTGACTGTCCCCTACTGTATATGTGTTTTCTGTAGTGTCCTCATGTAAATAGCCTTTTTTTTTTGTTGTATTTTTCGTATATATTTCTCAATCTCACTTTCCATCCTTTAACTAAATATACTTTCCTGCAACCCGCCTCACCCAATGTGGAACGGATTCTATTATTTCTTCATAAATTTTTATCCAGAACCTCTGGCTGAAACTAGCCAGCTAACTAGCTACTTGCTATTAGCCACCGTTAGCGGTCTTCACCATTGTCCGTGGCCGTGGCCTGCACTACCTATCAGCCAGCTCTAGCCTGGACAATTATCGGCCAGTCTGCACATCGCGCTATCGAGCCAGAGCATATCGAATTTTCTGCCGGAATCAATGAATCACTGGACCTTAACACCGGATCATCGCAACTAGCTAGCTGCAACCGAATGGCTGTTGTCGTTGTTGGCTAATCACCACTAATCACCACTGTCCTGAAGCTAACCCCAGTTAGCCTTGAGCTAGCCTCGAGCCAGGCCCATCTCCCGGCTATCTACCTATCTGTCAACCGGACGGGACCTCCTAGTGCCGATCCATCATGACTGGTCTGCCGACATAATTGTCTGATGTGGTTTCAACAGGCTTCCCATTGCGATGACCACGAAGATCCAACTGCTAGCCCCGGCCCGCTAGCACATGCAATCAAAAGCCGTGCCTCCAGCTCGCCTGTAGCGTAGCAGCCACTGAACTGCTCCCAGACTTACTTATTACTGTTCACTGGACCTTATGATCACTCAGCTACACAGCTGATGCCTGCTGGACTATCCTACCGATCCTTGACTTCGGCGATGTCATTTACAAAATAGCTTCCAACACTCTACTCAGCAAATTGGATGTAGTCTATCACAGTGCCATCTGTTTTGTCACCAAAGCCCCATATACTACCCACCATTGTGACCTGTACGGTCTCGTTGGCTGGCCCTCACTACATATTCGTCGCCAAACCCACTGGCTCCAGGTCATCTATAAATCCCTTCTAGGCAAATCCCCGACTTATCTTAGCTCATTGGTCACCATAGCAACACCCACCCGTAGTATGTGTTCCATCCCCAAAGCCAACACCTCCTTTGGTCGCCATTCCTTCCAGTTCTCTGCTGCAAATTACTGGAACGAACTGCAAAAATCTCTGAAGCTGGAGACACTTATCTCCCTCACTATCTTTAAGCATCAGTTGTCAGAGCAGCTCACCGATCACTGCACCTGTACACAGCCCATCTGTAATTAGCCCACCAAACTACCTCATCCCCATATTGTTAATTACATTGTTATTTATTTTGCTCATTTGCACCCCAGTATCTCTATTTGCACATCATCTTCTGCACATCTATCACTCCAGTGTTAATACTAAATTATAATTGTAATTATTTTGCACTATGGCCTATTTATTGCCTTACCTCCATAACTTACTACATTTGCACACACTGTACATAGATTTTCTATTGTGTTATTGACTGTACTTTTTGTTTATTCCATATGTAACTCTGTGTTGTTGTTGTTTTTTCCACACTGCTTTGCTTTATCTTGGCCAGGTCGCCGTTGTAAATGAGAACTTGTTATCAACTGACTTACCTGGTTAAATAAAGGTGAAATAAAAAAAAATACCCAAAATAATAATTTCAACAAAGTGGACAGCAGAGAACATGTCTACCGTTTACCCTCACTTCTTGGGCAGACCAGAGCCTCAGATATGCAATTTTAGAAACTGTTCACCATCATGTAAGTATTACAACACAGGGCTGCGGGCCAGAAGTCTGTCGGTTAGCAGACCACTGTGGACAAGAGTAGGGGTGGAAAGATCTCCTTTATAATAAAAGCATTGAATGAATCTATCATCGTATTTGCAGGTCCGAGAAAAAAATGGCCTTTTTATAAAAATGTCATGCAATTCTACATAATTTTACATATTAGTGGAATCTTTTTTTAATACCACACAAATTACAGAAATTATAGGTTAAGAATGCCAAATCAGCGTGTCTTGTTTGCAACGAAACTGTCCCTGTTTGCAAATAATTAAATCTTAGACGTCATTAGGAATCTCAGCGGGGTACTTTCCACCCCAGACAGAGTAGGCCTACCGACGCAGAAACATGTAAGCTTTAACTACTGATTACTCTTCTTCCATGGCTTAACCCAATGAGAGAAGGTCACAAGTGTTTCCCTAAAAGCTGTCTGTGTTTAAAATCTTCTATTGTACGGAAAGTGAATAGCTTAATCAATTGAGTGACAGAATTAGATTACTTCCCAAGCAAAGTCAGCCTCTGATTGTCAAAGAAACAACACAATGATAACCCATATGCATTGGAATCACGTCTTTCCTGGCTATTTTACAGCTTGTTTCTAGCAAAAAGCATTGCGAACCAATTTATATAATCGGATTCGTTTTAAGCTAACAAGGGGTAGGCCTGTGCTTTTTGCCATTTTCTTTTAAAAAGGTAGGCCTATGGCATACCCTCTCATACCCCTTCAATTAGAGACTTGGTTTTAACTTAACAGCCCTTCACCGACATGTAGGTAGGCTATTTCAAGAGTGCACGGGGGTGGAGGAATTGACCGACACATCTATGGATATAGCAGCCTATAGCCTAATTTTGTCTGTCAAACAGGTAAGCCTACCTCTTATTTCTTAAATAGGAAGGAATAGGCTCCAACACAAAGCCCTCTTGTTGTTGGTAAAATCGAATTAAAATGAAGACGGTTTAAATGAGTTATGCCTACTCAAATTTGCCTACTTTCAGCACCATGAGCTGTCCATTTCCGATTGGCTGCTGCTTCAAGTTACTCGAATCTGTCTTATTGTGAGGTCAAAAACTCTGATAAATACATAATGTGCAAGAAACATGTTGTTTTTAATAAAATGAATTATAGTAATAGAAAGATATCAAAGTTGACCTCTGGTCCTCCTTCTCATCTTTGCACTCTCCTTCTAAAACTGAACAGAACATAGGCTATAGGCTAGTCTGTGTGCAATATAGTGAATTTTTTGGACTAGGCCTAATCAACAACAAACATTTGGAAGAAATTGACTCTCCTCCTGAACTGCCGCCGTAGCCCTACACAGCACAGCCATTGGTTAAGCAGCAGACAAAAGAGTTTCTGATCAGCAAGAGCAGAGCAGGCCAGGGCTCAGGGTTGGAATACCGATTGCAGTGTGTAATACAGTTTTATTTACAAAATCGCAGCAGCTCTCTTAGAAATATAACTTTGCTCTGTGCTTCTCAGAGCATGCACTTCGCAGCCTACAGCCTATAGGTTATGTGTCACGATCGTCAAAAGGAGGAGACCAAAGCGCAGCGTGTTGAGCGAACATCGTAGACTTTATTATAAAGAAACCACGATCAAAACAACAAACCAAATATGACGAAAGTGAAGTTCAATACTGATAATGACTAACAGCAACAAGGAAACAAAAACCCACAAAACCAAGGTGAAACCACACAGTATAAATATGGCTCCCAATCAGAGATAACGAGCCGACAGCTGACACTCGTTACCTCCGATTGGGAGTCATATGACTAATCAACATAAAACCCAAACATAGAAATGAAACAACTAGATCCCACATAGAAATACACCCAAAAGAAAATGACAACCCTGGCTCACAACTAAGAGTCCCGGAGCCAGAACGTCACAGTACCCCCCACTAAAGGCGCGGACTGCGACCGCGCCTCACAACCCCACAATAGGGGAGGGCTGGGTGGGTGTTGCTCCCCGGAGGCGGTTCCGGCTCCGGGCTTGACCACCACCCCACTATAGTTACTACCCGCTTTCTTAACCTCCTCCCAATGACCACCCTCCACTTAAACCCACCTGGATTAATGGGCAGCACCGGACTAAGAGGCAGCACCAGGCTAAGGGACAGCACCGGACTAAGGGGCAGCACTGGACTAAGGGGCAGCACTGGACTAAGGGGCAGCACCTGACTAAATGGCGGATCCTGGCTGGCTGGCTCTGGCGGATCCTGGCTGGACGGCTCTGGCGGATCCTGGCTGGACGGCTCTGGCGGATCCTGGCTGGACGGCTCATAGCTGGCTGACGGATCTGGCTGCTCATGGCTGGCTGACGGATCTGGCTGCTCATGGCTGGCTGACGGATCTGGCCACTCATGGCTGGCGGAAGGCTCTGGCTGATCCCGTCTGGCGGAAGGCTCTGGCTGCTCCTGTCTGGCGGAAGGCTCTGGCTGATCCGGTCTGACGGAAGGCTCTGGCTGCTCCTGTCTGGCGGAAGGCTCTGGCTGATCCTGTCTGGCGGAAGGCTCTGGCTGATCCTGTCTGGCGGAAGGCTCTGGCTGATCCTGTCTGGCGGAAGGCTCTGGCTGATCCTGTCTGGCGGAAGGCTCTGGCTGATCCTGTCTGGCGGAAGGCTCTGGCTGATCCTGTCTGGCGGAGAGCTCTAGCGGCTCCGGTCTGGCGGACGGCTCTGAAGGCTCATGGCAGACGGGCGGCTTTGCAGGCTCAGTACAGACGGGCAGTTCAGACGGCGTTGGGCAGACGGACAGTTCAGACGGCGTTGGGCAGACGGGCAGTTCAGACGGCGTTGGGCAGACGGGCAGTTCAGGCGCCGTTGGGCAGACGGGCAGTTCAGACGGCGCTGGGCAGACGGGCAGTTCAGACGGCGTTGGGCAGACGGGCAGTTCAGGCGCCGTTGGGCAGACGGGCAGTTCAGACGGCGTTGGGCAGACGGGCAGTTCAGACGGCGTTGGGCAGACGGGCAGTTCAGGCGCCGTTGGGCAGACGGGCAGTTCAGACGGCGTTGGGCAGACGGACAGTTCAGGCCCCGTTGGGCAGACGGCAGACTCTGGCCGTCTGAGGCGCACCGTAGGCCTGGTGCGTGGTGCCGGAACTGGAGGTACCGGGCTGAGGACACGCATCTCAGGGCTAGTGCGGGGAGCAGCAACAGGGCATGCTTGGCCCTGGGGACGCACATAAGGCCTAGTGCGGAGAGCAGGAACAGGCCGGGCTGGGCTGGCGACGCGCACCGTATCCCTGGTGCGAGAGGCCGGAACAGGCCGGGCCGGGCTGGCGAAGCGCACCGTATCCCTGGTGCGTGGAGCAGGAACAGGCCGGGCTGGGCTGGCGACGCGCACCGTATCCCTGGTGCGAGTGGCCGGAACAGGCCGGGCCGGGCTGGCGAAGCGCACCGTATCCCTGGTGCGTGGAGTAGGAACAGGCCGGGCTGAGCTGGCGACGCGCACCGTATCCCTGGTGCGAGTGGCCGGAACAGGCCGGGCCGGGCTGGCGAAGCGCACCCTATCCCTGGTGCGTGGAGCAGGAACAGGCCGGGCTGGGCTGGCGACGCGCACCGCATCCCTGGTCCTGGTGCATGGAGTAGGAACAGGCCGGTCCGTACCGGGAACACACACCACTGGCCTCAACCGAGGATCAGGAACGGGCCGGGCCGGACCGGACTGGCAACACACATCAGTCCTTCACGCCGTGCCACAAACACTTCCCTCCCTCTACTCGCCAATGGCTCCCGTACTCCGTTAGCCTTCTCTCCTTTTCTCCCTGTGGCAGCCTCCTGCTGCCCAGCCGCCCAAGCCATGTGCCCCCCCCAAAAACCTTTTTGGGGTTGCCTCCCGTCCTTCCGACGATGGCCCTGCCGATGCCGTTGCTCCTCTCCTGCCAGGTTCTCCCCCTTCATCGCCCTCCGGTACCGGACGGCCTCCTCCTGGGTAATATGTCCCCAGCCGAGGAGGACATCCACCAACGTTATCTCCTGACCCGGCGCCTCCTCCCATGTCCAAACCCTTTGCTCCTGGACGCGCTGCTTGGTCCTTTTGTGGTGGGTTTTTCTGTCACGATCGTCAAAAGGAGGAGACCAAAGCGCAGCGTGTTGAGCGAACATCGTAGACTTTATTATAAAGAAACCACGATCAAAACAACAAACCAAATATGACGAAAGTGAAGTTCAATACTGATAATGACTAACAGCAACAAGGAAACAAAAAACCCACAAAACCAAGGTGAAACCACACAGTATAAATATGGCTCCCAATCAGAGATAACGAGCCGACAGCTGACACTCGTTACCTCCGATTGGGAGTCATATGACTAATCAACATAAAACCCAAACATAGAAATGAAACAACTAGATCCCACATAGAAATACACCCATATGGATCATTTGATTGAGACCACACTAAATAGCCTATAGCCGCAATTGATATTGCGCCCAGCATTTCACAGAGTCGTGGCTAAACAAGGACATGGATAATATACAGTTAACAGGGTTTTCTGTGCATCTGCAAGACAGAACAGCAGCCTCCGGTAAGGGGGAGGGTGGCATGCAATCTTCTCAAGATTTTGCTTGCCTGAGATAAAGTACCTCATGATAAGCCATAGACCACACTATTTACCAAGAGAGTTTTCATCTATATTCTTCGTAGCTGTCTATTTACAACTACAAACCAATGCTGACACTAAGATTGCACTCAACGAGCTTTATAAGACCATAAGAAAACAAGAAAATGCTCATCCAGAGGCGGCGCTCCTTGTGGCCTGGGATTTTAATAAAGGACTGAAATCAGTTTTACCTCATTTCTACCAGCATGTCACATGTGCAACTAGAGGAAAAAAAACTCTAGATCACCTTTACTCCACACACAGAGATGAATACAAATCTCTCCCTCACCCTCCATTTGGAAAATCTGACCATAATATCCTCTTGATTCCTGCTTACAAGCAAAAACTCAAACTGGAAGTACCAGTGACGCTCAATACGGAAGTGGTCGGATGAAGCAGATGCTAACCTACGGGACTGTTTCACTAGCACAGACTGGAATATGTTCCGGGATTCATCCGATGGCATTGAGGAGTATACCACATCAGTCACCGGCTTCATTAATAAGTGCATCGATGACGTCGTCCCCACAGTGACCATACGTACGTACGTACATATCCCAACCAGAAGCCATGGATTACAGGCAACATCCGCACTGAGCTAAAGGCAACTTTCAAGGAGCGGGACACTAATCCAGACACTTATAAGAAATCCCGCTATGCCCTCCGACGAACCATCAAACAGGCAAAGCGTCAATACAGGACTAAGATTAAATCCCACTACACTGGCTCTGATGCTTGTCGGATGTGGCAGGGCTTTCAAACTATCACGGATTACAAAGGGAAACCCAGCCGCGAGCTGCCCAGTGACGCGAACCTTCCAGACGAGCTAAATGCCTTCTATGCTCGCTTTGAGGCAAGCAACACTGAACCATGCATGAGAGCACCAGGTGTTCCGGATGACTGTATGATCACGCTCTCCGTAGCCGATGTGAGTAAGATCTTTAAACAGGTTAACATTCACAAGGCCGCAGGGCCAGACGGATTACCAGGATGCGTACTCAGAGCATGCGCTGACCAGCTGGCAAGTGTCTTCACTGACATTTTCAACCTCTCCCTGACCCAGTTTGTAATACCTACATGTTTCAAACAGTCCCTGTGCCCAAGAACGCCAAGGTAACCTACCTAAATGACTACCGCTCCGTAGTACTCACATCGGTAGCCATGAAATGCTTTGAAAGGCTGGTCATGGCTCACATCAACACGTGAGAATGCTGTTAATTGACTACAGCTAAGCGTTCAACACCATAGTGCCCTCCAAGCTCATCACTAAGCTAAGGAGCTGAGCACGCCCCCCAGTCACATCGACGGGGCTGTAGTGGAGCGGGTCGAGAGCTTCAAGATCCTTGGTGTACACATCACTAAGGACCTATTATAGTCCAAACACACCAATACGGTCGTGAAGAGTGCACAAAGCCTATTCCCCCTCAGGAGGCTGAAAATATTTGGCATGAAACCTCAGATCCTCAAAAAGTTCTACAGCTTCCCCATTGAGAGAATCCTGGCTGGTTGCATCACCGCTTGGTATGGCTCCTGACCGCAAGGCGCTACAGATGGTGGTGAGTACAGCCCAGTATATCACTGAGGCCGAGTTTCCTGCTATCCAGAGCCTCTATACCAGGCAGTGTCAGAGGAAGGGCCTAAAAATTGTCAGACTCCAGCCACCCAAGTCAAAGACTGTTCTCTCTGCTACAGCACGGCAAGCGGTACCGGAGTGCCAAGTCTGGAACAAAAAGGCTACTTAACCCCCTTAAGTTGATGTCTGTGCCCCCGCGGAAATCTAATTAGCATAATAAAAAAATCCCCATCAAAATCTGTCAGTTGTCGCACTTCCCCATCTGCAGTGAATGGTGACAGAGCTAGAGCGTTGTTTGTCAAACCATGAGACATCCCGAAAATCGGTCTTCTCACAAAATCGTCTGTAGCATTCGAATAGTTATGACCCCTCTATGGAAAGATGAGACTCTCACGAACACTGTTGTGTTCTCCGTTTTGCTCTACGACACCTTCAAACGTTTTGGGACTCGTCGGTACAACCAGGTATTCGGAGTGGACTTTTAGTCCGACTCAGGAAGTGTGCATAGCACCCACCGTTCCAAGTACACTGCTCAAAAAAATAAAGGGAGCACTAAAATAACACATCCTAGATCTGAATGAATGAAATAATCTTATTAAATACTTTTTTCTTTACATAGTTGAATGTGCTGACAACAAAATCACACAAAAAGTATCAATGGAAATCAAATTTATCAACCTATGGAGGTCTGGATTTGGAGTCACACTCAAAATTAAAGTGGAAAACCACACTACAGGCTGATCCAACTTTGATGTAATGTCCTTAAAACAAGTCAAAATGAGGCTCAGTAGTGTGTGTGGCCTCCACGTGCCTGTATGACCTCCCTACAACGCCTGGGCATGCTCCTGATAAGGTGGCGGATGGTCTCCTGAGGGATCTCCTCCCAGACCTGGACTAAAGCATCCGCCAACTCCTGGACAGTCTGTGGTGCAACGTGGCGTTGGTGGATGGAGCGAGACATGATGTCCCAGATGTGCTCAATTGGATTCAGGTCTGGGGAACGGGTGGGCCAGTCCATAACATCAATGCCTTCCTCTTGCAGGAACTGCTGACACACTCCAGCCATATGAGGTCTAGCATTGTCTTGCATTAGGAGGAACCCAGGGCCAACCGCACCAGCATATGGTCTCACAAGGGGTCTGAGGATCTCATCTCGGTACCTAATGGCAGTCAGGCTACCTCTGGCGAGCACATGGAGGGCTGTGCGGCCCCCCAAAGAAATGCCACCCCACACCATGACTGACCCACCGCCAAACCGGTCATGGTGGAGGATGTTGCAGGCAGCAGAACGTTCTCCACGGCGTCTCCAGACTCTGTCACGTCTGTCACATGTGCTCAGTGTGAACCTGCTTTCATCTGTGAAGAGCACAGGGCGCCAGTGGCGAATTTGCCAATCTTGGTATTCTCTGGCAAATGCCAAACGTCCTGCACGGTGTTGGGCTGTAAGCACAACCCCCACCTGTGGACGTCGGGCCCTCATACCACCCTCATGGAGTCTGTTTCTGACCTTTTGAGCAGACACATGCACATTTGTGGCCTGCTGGAGGTCATTTTGCAGGGCTCTGGCAGTGCTCCTCCTGCTCCTCCTTGCACAAAGGCGGAGGTAGCGGTCCTGCTGCTGGGTTGTTGGCCTCCTACGGCCTCCTCCACGTCTCCTGATGTACTGGCCTGTCTCCTGGTAGCGCCTCCATGCTCTGGACACTACGCTGACAGACACAGCAAACCTTCTTGCCACAGCTCGCATTGATGTGCCAAGCTGGATGAGCTGCACTACCTGAGCCACTTGTGTGGGTTGTAGACTCCGTCTCATGCTACCACTAGAGTGAAAGCACCGCCAGCATTCAAAAGTGACCAAAACATCAGCCAGGAAGCATAGGAACTGAGAAGTGGTCTGTGGTCACCACCTGCACTCCTTTATTGGGGGTGTCTTGCTAATTGCCTATAATTTCCACCTGTTGTCTATTCCATTTGCACAACAGCATGTGAAATTTATTGTCAAACAGTGTTGCTTCCTAAGTGGACAGTTTGATTTCACAGAAGTGTGATTGACTTGGAATTACATTGTGTTGTTTAAGTGTTCCCTTTATTTTTTTGAGCAGTGTATATTACTCACCAATGTGCAGTCCCTGGACAATAAAGTAGATGAGCTCAGGGCGAGGATCTCCTTCCAGAGAGACATCTAGGACTGTAAAATATTCTGTTTCACGGAATCATGGCTTTCTCCGGATATACTGTCCCCGTTCACACAGCCAGCTGGGTTCTCAGTACATTGCGCAGTCAGGAATAAAGAACTCTCTGGGAAAAAGAAAGTCGGAGGTGTTTGTTTCATGATTAACTACTCATGGTGTGATTGTGGTAATGTACAGGAACTGAAGTCTTTTTGTTCACCCGGCCTAGAATAACTCACAATCAAATGCTGACCGCATTACCTCCCGAGATAATTATTTTCAGTCATGGTCACAGACCTGTATATTCCCCCTCAAGCCGATACCATGACGGCTCAAAAAGGAACTACACTGGACTTTGTACAAACTGGAAACTGCATATCCTGAGGCCACATTTATTGTAACTGGGGACTTTATTAAAGCAAATCTGAGGAAAATGTTGCAAGTTTAATCAACACATTGCCTGCGTCACTCACGCTTCAAGAACTCTCGACCATTGCTACTCTCTCTTCCGGGACGGCTACAAAGCCCTCCCCCACCCTCTCTTCGGCAAATCAGATCACGCCTCCATCCTGCCCCTCCCTTCCTATAGGCAGAAACTCAAACAGGAAGTACCCGTGGTAAGGACTGTTCAACGCTGGTCTAACCTATCAGAATCCATGCTTCAAGATTGTTTTGATCACGCGGACTGGGATATGTTCTGGGTTACTTCTGAGTATAACATTGACGTACACACTGACATTTTTATTTTATTTATTTTTTATTTAACCTTTATTTAACCAGGTAAGCCAGTTGAGAACAAGTTCTCATTTACAACTGTGACCTGGCCAAGATAAAGCAAAGCAGTGCGATAAAAACAACAACACAGAGTTACATATGGGGTAAAAAAACATAAAGTCAAAAAATACAACAGAAAATAAATACAGTGTGTGCAAATGTAGCAAGTTATGGAGGTAAGGCAATAAATAGGCTATAGTGCAACATAATTACAATTAGTATTAACACTGGAATGCTAGATGTGCAAGAGATTATGTGCAAATAGAGATACTGGGGTGCAAAAGAGCAAAATAAATAACAATATAGGGATGAGGTAGTTGGGTGGGCTAATTTCAGATGGGCTGTGTACAGGTGCAGTGATCGGTAAGGTGCTCTGACAACTGATGCTTAAAGTTAGTGAGGGAGATAAGAGTCTCCAGCTTCAGAGATTTTTGCAATTCGTTCCAGTCATTGACAGCAGAGAACTGGAAGGAATGGCGGCCAAAGGAGGTGTTGGCTTTGGGAATGACCAGTGAGATATACCTGCTGGAGCGCAGACTACGGGTGGGTGCTGCTATGGTGACCAATGAGCTAAGATAAGGCGGGGATTTGCCTAGCAGTGATTTATAGATGGCCTGGAGCCAGTGGGTTTGACGACGAACATGTAGTGAGGACCAGCCAACAAGAGCGTACAGGTCACAGTGGTGGGTAGTGTATGGGGCTTTGGAGACAAAACGGATGGCACTGTGATAGACTACATCCAGTTTGCTGAGTAGAGTGTTGGAGGCTATTTTGTAAATGACATCGCCGAAGTCAAGGATCGGTAGGATAGTCAGTTTTACGAGGGCATGTTTGGCAGCATGAGTGAAGGAGGCTTTGTTGCGAAATAGGAAGCCGATTCTAGATTTAACTTTGGATTGGAGATTCTTTATGTGAGTCTGGAAGGAGAGTTTACAGTCTAACCAGACACCTAGGTATTTGTAGTTGTCCACATACTCTAGGTCAGACCCGTCGAGAGTCGTGATTCTAGTCGGGTGGGCGGGTGCCAGCAGCGTTCGATTGAAAAGCATACATTTCGTTTTACTAGTGTTTAAGAGCAGTTGGAGGCTACTGAAGGAGTGTTGTATGGCATTGAAGCTCATTTGGAGGTTTGTTAACACAGTGTCCAATGAAGGGCCAGATGTATACAAAATAGTGTCGTATGCGTAGAGGTGGATCTGAGAGTCACCAGCAGCAAGAGCGACATCATTGATATACACGGAGAAAAGTGTCGGCCCCATAGAGACTGCCATAGGTCCAGACAACAGGCCCTCCGATTTGACACACTGAACTCTATCTGAGAAGTAGTTGGTGAACCAGGCGAGGCAGTCATTTGAGAAACCAAGGCTATTTAGTCTGCCAATAAGAATGCGGTGGTTGACAGAGTCGAAAGCCTTGGCCAGGTCGATGAAGACGGCTGCACAGTACTGTCTATTATCAATCGCGGTTATAATATCGTTTAGGACCTTGAGCGTGGCTGAAGTGCACCCATGACCAGCTCGGAAACCGGATTGCATAGCGGAGAAGGTATGGTGGTATTCGAAATGGTCGGTGATCTGTTTGTTAACTTGGCTTTCAAATACTTTCGAAAGGCAGGGCAGGATGGATATAGGTCTGTAGCAGTTTGGATCTAGAGTGTCACCCCCTTTGAAGAGGGGGATGACCGCGGCAGCTTTCCAATCTCTGGGGATCTCAGACGTTATGAAAGAGAGGTTGAACAGACTAGTAATAGGGGTTGAGACAATTTCGGCGGCTAGTTTTAGAAAGAAAGGGTCCAGATTGTCTAGCCCAGCTGATTTGTAGGGGTACAGATTTTGCAGCTCTTTCAGAACATCAGCTGTCTGAATTTGTGTGAAGGAGAAGCGGGGGGGGGCATGGGCAAGTTGCAGCGGAGGGTGCAGAGTTGGTGGCCGGGGTAGTGGTAGCCAGATGGAAAGCATGGCCAGCTGTAGCAAAATGTTTGTTGAAATTCTCGATTATTGTAGATTTATCGGTGGTGATATTGTTTCCAAGCCTCAGTGCAGTGGGCAACTGGGAGGAAGTGCTCTTATTCTCCATGGACTTTACAGTGTCCCAAAACTTTTTGGAGTTAGTGCTACAGGATGCAAATTTCTGTTAGAAAAAGTTAGCCTTTGCTTTCCTGACTGCTTGTGTATATTGGTTCCTAACTTCCCTGAAAAGTTGCATATCGCGGGGGCTATTTGATGCTAATGCAGTACGCCACAGGATGTTTTTGTGCTGGTCAAGAGCAGTCAAGTCTGAGGAGAACCAGGGGCTATATTGGTTCTTAGTTCTGTATTTTTTGAATGGGGCATGTTTATTTAAGATTGAGAGGAAATTACTTTTAAGGAACAACCAGGCATCCTCTACTGACGGAATGAGATCTATATCCATCCAGGATACCTGGGCCAGGTCAATTAGGAAGGCCTGCTCGCTAAAGTGTTTTAGGGAGCGTTTGACAGTGATGAGGGGTGGTCGTTTGACCGCAGACCTGTTACGGACGCAGGCAATAAGGCAGTGATCGCTGAGATCCTGGTTGAAGACAGCTGAGGTGTATTTAGAGGGTATGTTAGTCAGGATGATATCTATGAGGGTACCCATGTTTACAGATTTAGGGTTGTACCTGGTAGGTTCATTGATAATTTGCGTGAGATTGAGGGCATCTAGTTTGGATTGTAGGATGGCCGGGGTATTAAGCATATCCCAATTTAGGTCACCAAGCAGTACGAACTCTGAGGATAAATGGGGGGCAATCAATTCACATATGGTGTCCAGGATACAGCTGGGGGCTGAGGGGGGTCTGTAGCAAGCGGCAACAGTGAGAGACTTATTTCTGGAAAGGTGGATTTTTAGAAGTAGAAGCTCAAACTGTTTGGGCACAGACCTGGATAGTATGATAGAGCTCTGCAGGCTATCTCTACAGTAGATTGCAACTCCACCCCCTTTGGCAGTTCTATCTAGACGGAAAATGTTATAGTTGGGGATGGAAATTTCAGAATTTTTGGTGGCCTTCCTGAGCCAGGGTTCAGACACTGCTAGAACATCAGGGTTGGCGGAGTGTGCTAACGCAGTGAATAACTCAAACTTAGGAAGTAGACTTCTGATATTTACGTGCAAGAAACCAAGACTTTTGCGATTACAGAAGTCAGCAAATGATAGCGCCTGGGGAGTAGGAGTGATACTGAGGGCTGCAGGGCCTGGGTTAGCCTCTACATCACCAGAGGAACAGAGGAGGACTAGAATAAGGATACGGCTAAAGGCTTTAAGAACTGGTCTTCTAGTGCGTTGGGTACATAGAATAAAGGGGGCAGATTTCCGGGTGTTGTAGAAAAGATTCAGGGCATTATGTACAGACAAGGATATGGAAGGATATGAGTAAAGTGGAGGTAAACCTAAGCGTTGGGTAACAATGAAAGAGATAGCATCACTGGAGGCACCAATTGAGTCGGTCTCCGCGTGTATGGGGGGTGGGACAAAGGAGCTATCTAAGGCAGGTTTAGCTGGGCTGGGGGATCTACAGTGAAATAGTACAATTAGAAATAACCGAAACAACAATAAGCTAACCATGTTTGGGCTGAGGCTAAACATAAACAGGATGTAGTACCGTAAAAAGGAACAGTCCAGCAGACATCAGCTGCATAGCTGAGTTATCATAAGGTCCGGTGAACAGCAATAGGATAGTTCGGAGGCTGCTAAAGCACTAGCGAGTAAGAGGCCACGGCTAGCGTGTGCTAGCGGGCCGGGGCTAGCAGATGGAATCTTCGTGGTCGACGTCGTAACCACATCAGACGATTTCGTCTGCAGACCAGTCGTGTAGGATCGGCGGGGCTCCGTGTCAACACTAGGTGGTCCCGTCCGGTTGACAGAGAGGTAGATAGCCGGGAGATGGGCCTAGCTCAGGATGATTAGCCAGACCACAGCGTCCATTTTGTTGCAGCTAGCTGGTAGCGATGAATCCGGAGTTAAAGGTCCAGTGATTCAGTGATTCCAGCAGAAAAACTGATATGTTCTGGGTCGATAACGCGCTGTGCAGACTGGCCGAATAATAGTCCAGACTAGAGCTGGCTGGTGAGTGGTGCAGGCCACGGACAATGGTGAAAAACCGCTAACGGTAGCTGATAGCAAGTAGCTAGTTAGCTGGCTACTCCCGTCCGGTACACCTAGAGGTATATATGAGCCTGGATCTAGGCTAGCTCGAGGCTAACTGGTGCTTGCATCGGGGGCAGTGGTGATTAGCTAGACAGCAACATCCATTCGGTTGCGGCTAGCTAGTTGCGATCCGGTGATTAATGTCCAGTGATTGAATTAATCCCGCAGAAAAAAAATCCAATGTTCTGGGTGAAATACCGCTGACTGTGGCTAATAGCAAGTAGCTAGTTAGCTGGCTAGCTAGTTTCAACTGGAGATTCTAGATAAAAGGTAAGTCAATAATAGAATCCGTTCCACATTGAGTGAGGCGGGTTGCAGGAAAAGTATATTTTGTAGAAGGATGAAAAGTCTGATAGGGAAATATGTATGAAAAATACAAAAAAAACAGGGTATTTACAGGCTATTTACAGACACACGACAAAAACAGAACTGCACTACTACGCCATCTTGGAAGTAGTTCTGAGTATAACATTGACGTACACACTGACATGGTGACTGAGTTCATCAGGAAGTGTATACAGTGAGGGAAAAAAGTATTTGATCCCCTGCTGATTTTGTAAGTTTGCCCACTGACAAAGAAATGATCAGTCTATAATTTTAATGGTAGCCATGTACCGTCAAATCTTGGATGAGAACGTCTTTCCTTCAGCCAGGGCATTGAAAATGGGTCGTGGATGGTTATTCCAGCATGACAGTGACCCAAAACACACGGCATAGGCAACAAAGGAGTGGCTCAAGAAGAAGCACATTAAGGTCCTGGAGTTGCCTAGCCAGTTTCCAGACCTTAATCCCATAGAAAATCTGTTGAGGGAGCTGAAGGTTCGAGTTGCCAAACATCAGCCTCGAAACCTTAATGATTTGGAGAGGATCTGCAAAGAGGAGTGGAACAAAATCCCTCCTGAGATGTGTGCAATCCTGGTGGCCAACTACAAGAAACGTCTGACCTCTGTGATTGCCAACAAGGGTTTTGCCACCAAGTACTAAGTCATGTTTTGCAGAGGGGTCAAATACTTATTTCCCTCATTAAAATGCAAATCAATTTATAATATTTTTGACATGCGTTTTTCTGGATTTTTGTTGTTGTTATTCTGTCTCTCACTGTTCAAATAAACCTACCATTAAAATGATAGACTGATCATGTCTTTGACAGTGGGCAAACGTACAAAATCAGCAGGGGATCAAATACCTTTTTCCCTCACTTTAGGGGATGTTGTTCCTACTGTGACGATTAAAACTTATCCAAACCAAAAACCGTGGATAGATGAAAGCATTCACGCAAAACTGAAAGCACAAATAGTCCAGTTATGACCTCTGTAAGGCAATCACAATGTCAGTACAGAGACAAAGTGGAGTTGCAATTCAACGGCTCAGACACAAGACGTATATGGCAGGGACTCCAGACAATCACAGATTATAAAAGGAAAACCAGCCACTTCGTGGACACTGACGTGTTGCTCTCAGACAAGCGAAATACCTTCTTTGCCAGCTTTGAGGGAAATAGAGTGCCGTCGACCCGGGCCACCGTCGCTCCCGTGTACTGTGAGCTCTCGTTCTCCGTGGCCGATGTGAGTAAGACATTTAAGCGTGTTAACCTTTGCATACCGCCCCAATAGATTCACTGATGACGCAATCGCCATCGCACTGCACACTGCCCTTTCACCCTAGAGCCACTGCCCTATTCACTGGGTCTGAACCCTGCCCTGTGCAACTAGGTCCTGGACTTCCTGAAGGGCCGCCCCCAGGTGGTGAAGGTAGGCAACAACACCTCCACTATGCTGATCCTAACACAAGGGCCCCACAAGGGTGCATGCTCAGCCCCCTCCTGTACTCCCTGTTCACCTATGACTTCAACTCAATCACCAAGTTTGCAGATGACACAACAGTGGTAGTCCTGATTACCAAAAACGACGAGACAGTCTACAGGGAGGAGGTGGGGGCCCTGGCAGAGTGGTGCCAGGAAAATCATCTCAACGTCAACAAAACGAAGGAGCTGATCGTGGACTTCAGGAGACAGTAGAGGGAGCACGCCCCCATCCACAACAACGGGGCTGCAGTGGAGAAGGTGAAAAGTTTAAAGTTCCTCTGCGTACACATCACTGACAATCTGAAATGGTCCACCCACACAGACAGTGTGGTGAAGAAGGCGCAACAGCGCCTCTTCAACCTCAGGAGGTTGAAGAAATTCGGCTTGGCCCCTAAGACCCTCACAAACTTTTACAGATGCACCATTGAGAGCATCCTGTCGGGATGTATCACCGCCTGGTACGACAACTGCACCGTCCGCAACCGCAGGGCTCTCCAGAGGGTGGTGCGGTTTGCCCAACACATCACCGGGGGCACACTGCCCGCCCTACAGGGCATCTAGAGCACCCGGTGTCACAGAAAGGCCAAGAAGATCATGAAGAACCTCAGCCACCCGAGCCACAGCCTGTTCACCCCGCTACCATCCAGAAGGCGAGGTCTGTACAGGTGCATCAAAGCTGGGACCAAGAGACTGAAAGACTGAAAAACAGCTTCTATCTCAATGCCATCAGACTAGCAGGTCCCCGCCCAGTACCCTTCCCTGAATTTTAGTCACTGTCACTAGCTGGCTACAATGCACCTTAGAGGCTGCTGCCCTATGTACATAGTCATGGAACACCGGTCACTTTAATAATGGAACACTGGTCACTTTAATAATGTTTACATTCTGGTTTACCCACTTCATATGTATATACTATATAGTAGTCAAGGCCTATCCTATTTAACTATTGCTGTTCATATAGTATTCTTCACATATATTACATATTCTGTCCATATTGTCTATACATCCCATCACTAAGCCCTGTCCCACCCCTCTTCACTTCTGTGCGAAGTTCATGTGTATTGGTGGGAACTTGAACACGCTGTCCTACAAGTTGATCCAGAGCATCCCAAACATGCTCAATGGGTGACATGTCTGGTGAGTATGTAGGCCATGGAAGAACTGGGACATTTTCAGCTTCCAGGAATTGTGTACAGATCCTTGCGACATGGGGCCGTGCATTATCATGCTGAAACATGAGGTGATTGCGGCGGATGAACGCCACGACAATGGACCTCAGGATCTCGTCACGGTATCTCTGTGCATTCAAATTGCCATTGATAAAATGCAATTATGTTCATTGTCCTTAGCTTATGCCTGCCCACACCATAACCCCACTTCACCATGGGGTACTTTGTTCACAATGTTAACATCAGCCAACTGCTCGCCCAAACCACGCCATACACGTGGTCTGCGGTTGTGAGGCCGGTTGGACGTATTGCCAAATTTTCTAAAATTACGTTGGAGGTGCTTATGGTAGAGAAATTAACATTCAATTCTCTGGCAACAGCTCTGTTGGACATTCCTGCATTCGATATGCCAATTGCACGATCCCTCAAAACTTGAGACATCTGTGGCATTGTGTTGTGTGACATAACTGCACATTTTCGAGTGGCCTTTTATTGTACCCAGCACAAGGTGCATCTGTGTAATGATTATGCCATTTAATCAGCTTCTTGATATGCCACACCTGTCAGGTGGATGGATTATCTTGGCAAAGGAGAAATGCTCACTAACATGGATGAAATACACATTTGTGCACAACATTTGAGAGAAATAAGCTGTTTGTGCGTCTGAAACATGGGACCAACATTTTACCTGTAGCAGTTATATTTTTGTTCACTGTATTTATTATATTGTTTTGCACTGAATCTATTTCACAGGCTCTATGTACACTCACTGGACTCTAACCACACACTCACACATACTACACTGACAATGAAACACACACACATACAGATTGTATTGCTATCCTTGTGGGGACCAAATAATAGATTCCCATCCAAAATCCTATTTTCCCTAACCCCTAACCCTAAATCTATTGCTAACCCTAACCCTAACCCTAACCTTAACCTTAACCTTAACCCTTAACCTAACCATAGCCCTAAACTGAACCCTAAGCCTAACCTTAACCACAAACCACTAACTCTAAAACTATACCTAACCCTAACTCCTAACCCTAACCCTAAACCTAACCATAACCCCTAACCTCAACCTTAATTCTAACCCTAATTGTAACCCTAGCCCTAAACCTAGCCCCTGAACCTAAAATAGCATTTTTCCTCATGGGGACTGGCAAAATGTCCCCACTTGTCCAAATGTCCCTTGTTTTACTATCCTTTTGAGGACTTCTGGTACCCACAAGGATAGTAAAAAAAAAAAAACACTCACACATACACAATCACATTCCTTCACACTCTTCAGATACGCTGCTACTCTCTGTTCAATTATCTCGACTACCCCGTAACCCTGCACCTTGACTCGGTACTGGTACCCCTTGTAAATAGCGTCATTAGTAGTGGTGTGATGTTCACTTGAGGTTGTGGGAGGTGATGGTCGCCAGGAATTTTCATGACTCAGCCCTACTTACAGCTGAGCCATTGATTCCGTTTTTTAAACATTAGATCTTTTTTGATCCAAACGCCCAGCTATTTATAGGCGGGAACCTGCTTGATGACAGAATCATCCAATGAATAAATATGTAGTTCATCTGAGACATTTATGCGTGAATTACAGAACAACATGCGTATATTTATTTTGTTACATCACTTTCTGTAATGTAACAAAAAACGACTCCTGATCCAGGCCCATTTCAGACAGTCTTTGAATGAGTAGGAAATGATCAACGGTGTTGAAAGCATTGGAAAGGTTTATAAATAAGGCATCACAATGATTCTTATGATCTATGCAATTTAAAACATCATCTAAAACCAGCATAGTGGTTGAAACAGTGCTATGTCCAGATCTACTGTAAAACCAGACTGGTACACATTTAGAATAGAGTGAGAAGTTTAAAAAAGTTATTAGCTGGGAGTTGGTCAGGGATTCTAATACCTTGGCTAGGCAAGATAACTTGGAGATTGGGCGGTAGTTATCTACGTCAGAAGGATCTCCGCCCTTATGTAGGCGGAGGACGTGCCACTTTCCAGATCTTAGGGATAATACCGGTAGCAATTGTCAAGTTAAAAATACAGGTTAAAGATTCAACAACGAGTGGGGCAGAGAGCTGTAATAAGAAGTGTTCAAGTGAATCAGCCCCTGTGGATTTTTTGGTACGACGATCTATAGTAAGGCACTAAATACATCATAGATATAAAATGGTTGAAATGAAAATAAAGAAGATTATGTGACTGGGAGTACATCATTCTCTACAATCTATATTGAGTTAAAGAAACTCCCTCTAGAGAAAATAGAGGAACTTTAAAAAAGGTGACCAGCTGAGGCAAAATGTATGCACTCACTAACTGTAAGTCACTCTGGATAAGAGCGTCTGCTAAATGACTAAAATTTAAAATGTAAAAATGTACCGCAGGGCCAGATGGATTACCAGGACGTGTACTCCGTGCATGCGCTGACCAACTGGCAAGTGTCTTCACTGACATTTTCAACATGTCCCTGACTGAGTCTCTAATACCAACATGTTTCAAGCAGACCACCATAGACCCTGTGCCCAAGAACACTAAGATAACCTGCCTAAATGACTACTACTCCGTAGCACTCACGTCTGTAGCCATGAAGTGCTTTGAAAGGCTGGTCATGGCTCACATCAACACCATTATTACAGAAACCCTAGACCCACTCCAATTTGCATACTGCCCCAACAGATCCACAGATGATGCCATCTCTATTGCACTCCACACTGCCCTTTCCCACCTGGACAAGAGGAACACCTACGTGAGAATGCTATTCATAGACTACAGCTCAGTATTCAACACCATAGTGCCCTCAAAGCTCATCACTAAGCTAAGGACCCTGGGACTAAACACCTCCCTCTGCAACTGGATCCTGGACTTCCTGACGGGCCGCCCCCAGGTGGTAAGGGTAGGTAACAACACATCTGCCACGCTGATCCTCAAAACAGAGGCCCCTCAGGGGTGCGTGCTCAGTCCCCTCCTGTACTCCCTGTTCACCCATGATTGCATGGCCAGGCACGACTCCAACACCATCATTAAGTTTGCCGACGACACAACAGTGGTAGGCCTGATCACCGACAACGATGAGACAGCAAATAGAGAGGTGGTCAGAAACCTGGCCGTGTGGTGCCAGGATAGCAACCTCTCCCTCAACGTGATCAAGACAAAGGAGATGATTGTGAAAGAGGGCTGAGCACACCCCCATTCTCATCGACGGGGCTGTAGTAGAACATGTTGAGAGCTTCAAGTTCCTTGGTGTCCACATCACCAACAAACTATAATTTTCCAAACACACCAAGACAGTCGTGAAGAGGGCACGACAAAGCCTATTCCCCCTCAGGAGACTGAAAAGATTTGGCATGGGTCCTCAGATCCTCAAAAAGTTCTACAGCTGCACCATCGAGAGCATCCTGACTGGTTGCATCACCACCTGGTATGGCAACTGCTCGGCCTCCGACCGCAAGGCACTACAGAGGGTGGTGCGTATGGGGACAAGCGTCCTGCCATTCAGGACCTCTATACCAGGAGGTGTCAGAGGAAGGCCCTAAAAATTATCAAACAGTCCAGCCACCCTAGTCATAGACTGTTCTCTCTGCTACCACACGGAAAGCGGTACCGGAGTGCCAAGTCTAGGTCCAAAAGGCTTCTTAACAGCTTCTACCCACAAGCCATAACACTTCTGAACAGCTAATTATGGCTACCCAGACTATTTGCATTGCCCCCCCCCCCCCACCCCAACCCAACCTTTTAGGATGCTGCTACTACTCTGTTTATTATTTATGCATAGTCACTTTAACTCTACCCACATGTACATATTACCTCAATTACCTCGACTAACCAGTGCCCCCGCACATTAACACATTGACTCTGTACCACATTGACTATAGTCCCTCCTATAGCTCAGTTGGTAGAGCACGGCGCTTGTAACGTCGGGGTTGTGGGTTTGATTCCCACGGGGGGCCAGTATATAAAATGTATGCACTCACTAACTGTAAATCACTCTGGATTAGAGCGGTTTTTTTAAATGACTAAAATTTTAAATTTTAAAATGTACCGGTACACCCTGTACAGTGAGGGAAAAAAGTATTTGATCCCCTGCTGATTTTGTACGTTTGCCCACTGACAAAGAAATGATCAGTCTATAATTTTAATGGTAGGTTTATTTGAACAGTGAGAGACAGAATAACAACAAAAACATCCAGAAAAACGCATGTCAAAAATGTTATAAATTGATTTGCATTTTAATGAGGGAAATAAGTATTTGACCCCCTCGCAATCAGAAAGATTTCTGGCTCCCAGGTGTCTTTTATACAGGTAACGAGCTGAGATTAGGAACACACTCTTAAAGGGAGTGCTCCTAATCTCAGTTTGTTACCTGTATAAAAGACACCTGTCCACAGAAGCAATCAATCAATCAGATTCCAAACTCTCCACCATGGCCAAGACCAAAGAGCTCTCCAAGGATGTCAGGGACAAGATTGTAGACCTACACAAGGCTGGAATGGGCTACAAGACCATCGCCAAGCAGCTTGGTGAGAAGGTGACAACAGTTGGTTCGATTATTTGCAAATGGAAGAAACACAAAACACTGTCAATCTCCCTCGGCCTGGGGCTCCATGCAAGATCTCACCTCGTGGAGTTGCAATGATCATGAGAATGGTGAGGAATCAACCCAGAACTACACGGGAGGATCTTGTCAATGATCTCAAGGCAGCTGGGACCATAGTCACCAAGAAAACAATTGGTAACACACTACGCCGTCAAGGACTGAAATCCTGCAGCGCCCGCAAGGTCCCCCTGCTCAAGAAAGCACATATACAGGCCCGTCTGAAGTTTGCCAATGAACATCTGAATGATTCAGAGGAGAACTGGGTGAAAGTGTTGTGATCAGATGAGACCAAAATCGAGCTCTTTGGCATCAACTCGCCATGTTTGGAGGAGGAGGAATGCTGCCTATGACCCCAAGAACACCATCCCCACCGTCAAACATGGAGGTGGAAAAATTATGCTTTGGGGGTGTTTTTCTGCTAAGGGGACAGGACAACTTCACCGCATCAAAGGGATGATGGACGGGGCCATGTACTGTCAAATCTTGGGTGAGAACCTCCTTCCCTCAGCCAGGGCATTGAAAATGGGTCGTCGATGGGTATTCCAGCATGACAATGACCCAAAACACACGGCCAAGGCAACAAAGGAGTGGCTCAAGAAGAAGCACATTAAGGTCCTGGAGTGGCCTAGCCAGTCTCCAGACCTTAATCCCATAGAAGATCTGTGGAGGGAGCTGAAGGTTCGAGTTGCCAAACGTCAGGCTCAAAACCTTAATGACTTGGAGAAGATCTGCAAAGAGGAGTGGGACAAAATCCCTCCTGAGATGTGTGCAAACCTGGTGGCCAACTACAAGAAACGTCTGACCTCTGTGATTGCCAACAAGTGTTTTGCCACCAAGTACTAAGTCATGTTTTGCAGAGGGGTCAAATACTTATTTCCCTCATTAAAATGCAAATCAATTTAGAACTTTTTTGACATGGGTTTTTCTGGATTTTTTTGTTGTTATTCTGTCTCTCACTGTTCAAATAAACCTACTATTAATATTATAGACTGATCATGTCTTTGTCAGTGGGAAAACGTACAAAATCAGCAGGGGATCAAATACTTTTTTCCCTCACTGTATATAGCCTCGCTACTGTGATTTTATTTTACTGCTGCTCTTTAATTGTTCTATTTTTTATTTTATTTTTATTTCTTACTTAACACTTTTTATTTTCTTAACTGCATTGTTGGTTAAGGGCTGTAAGTAAGCATTTCACTGTAATGTCTACACCTGTTGTATTCGGCGCATGTAGCAAATACAATTTGATTTTATTTGATTTAACCATGAGAAACAAGATTCCCTGGCCTGATGAAACCAAGATTGAACTCTTTGGCCTAAATGCCAAGCGTCACGTCTGGAGGAAACCTGGCACCATTCCTACGGTGAAGTATGGTGGTGGCAGCATCATGCTGTGGGGATGTTTTTCAGTGGCAGGGACTGGGAGACTAGTCAGGATCGAGGGAAAGATGAACGGAGCAAAGTACAGAGAGATCCTTGATGAAAACCTGCTCCAGAGCTCTCAGGACCTCAGACAGGGGCAAAGGTTCACCTTCCAACAGGACAACAACCCTAAGCACACAGCCAAGACAACGCAGGAGTGGCTTCGGGACAAGTCTCTGAGTGGCCCAACCAGAGCCCGGACTTGAACCCGATCAAACATCTCTGGAGAGACCTGAAAATAGCTGTGCAGCGACTCTCCCCATTCAACCTGATAGAGTTTGAGAGGATCTGCAGAGAAGAATGGGAGAAACTCCCCAAATACAGGTGTGCCAAGCTTGTAGCGACTTGAGGATGTACTCGCTGCCAAAGGTGCTTCAACAAAGTACTGAGTAAAGGGTCTGAATAGTTATGTAACGTGATTTTTCAGTTATGTATTTTTAATAACTTTGCAAAATATTCTACAAACCTCTATTTTCTTTGACATTATAGGGTATTGTGTGTAGGTCGATGAGGAAAAAAATATATTTAATCAATTTTAGAATGAGGCTGTAACGTAACAAAATGTGGAAAAAGTGAAGGGGTCTGAATACTTTCCGAATGCACTGTATGTCGATTTTGCTTTTCTAACCAGAGATAGACATTTATTTCTCAAATGTCTGAAGAACTTCCAATCAGCCTTAGCCCATATTTATTTCCCGAAGTTTCTAAGACAATTAATGCTTGAACCAAGGATTAGATCTGTCCTTTACTCTTGTTTTTTTTATACGGAGCATGCTTATCTGCAACAGCATTAAACAGAGTGGTAAAACAATTAAGGGCCTGATCCAACTCAGAGAGATAGATGACACAGCCCCCCAAGTCAAATAACCCCGGGTCAGAAAATAAATGTTGCTCATTACAGCTTTTTTTAATGGCTTTGGTACTATGTTCACAAGTATGTGGCACATTTTCACAACTCTTAGTACAAAACTCCAAACTGGTCACAATTGTAACGCAGCAAGTCTTTCATTCAAAACGTGTCATTGTGCATTAATTTGGATTGTAAACATCTCTTACCACACAACCATTGATTCAAAATATAAGTGCATTGTGAAATGTAATGATAACATTGATTTAATCACCAAAGCACAACATAATGATATCTTTTCCATTTAGTCGTTTTAACTACCAGTTAATCCAATACCATCACCCTCTAAAAATATATTTTGGTTAGTTTAGTTATATAATATAGTTCCAATATGATATTGTGAAGTAGCATGTGCATCAAATAGTAACAGTAATACAGTATATAGTGTTGTACCTGAACATACCTGGCCCGCAATTGTTTCACCTGGTCATTGTTTCTCTCAAAAGGCCCCAGGTAAATGTATTTCATAGACACCTGGTGCCATTTCAAAAGGCGGGCGATTGTTGGTCGGCTGATGGATGCCACATTGGCCAAAGTGTCATCGTTCTCCTCAATAGCTTGCTTTATTTCGGACAGCCGTATGTCATTCCTGGCCCTCACCATTTCCACCACTGCCCACTCCTGTTGGTTGGTCAGCACACAGTTGCAGCCACCACCATGGGGTCTTCTGTCAATTCTGAGGGTAGAACTGTCAATAGGTCATACTGTAAGAATACTGTAACATGTTTTGTGAATTTACATCCATTACAATATGTAATTGACTATAAATCTAATGGTAAAGCATAGTGCATCTCCTGTAGACTTACCGGTTTTTCTTGGCGAAATGTTCTCATGATCGAATTGACAGTTGATCTTTTCAGATTGGGGTGAACTAATCTGGCAGCCTCTGCCATGGTAAGGCCTCTGTTTACCACATGGTCAATGATGATGGCCCGGACTTCAATAGACACAACAGTTCCCTGCCGTCTGCCTCCCTCTATCTGATGTCCACCTCTTTGACGGGGCCCATGCCCACCTCTTTGACCTCTTTGACGGGGCCCATACACACCTCTTTAACCTCTTTGATGGGGCCCATGCCCACCTCTCTGATGGGCCCCTTGTCCATGAGCTCTTTGATTTATTCCTCTCCCTTGCTGTCTGTCCTGCTCCATGTTGAAAGAAATTGCAAGTGTTCACACACACCCTTTTATATGGTGACCAATTGTGGTTATCACTATGTGAAATCAATTAGCAATAACAAGTAGTCATTATGTATGGTTATCATGTATCATACTTTTTATTTAGATTTTGAAAGTTTTGAAAAAACAGCCTTTTTGATGATCTGTTTTGAGTTTTGTACTAAGAGTTGTGAAATTTAAAGCAACTGTACAATTGTACAATTCCAAACTGTACAATTCCAAAAATGTATCTTTGTAATAATGTGTGGGCGAGATTTAGGTATCTTAACATCTCTTATGAAGTCAACGGGACAATGGTCACTGAGCTCATTAGCAAAGATTCCATTTGCTGTATACTTATGAGGGGCAATGACTGTATATATGAATGGACAAAGCCATCGATCACGTGACACCATTCATTCCTATGTGAAGACTCAATAGCGCATTGAAGCCAAATTAAGTTGGTTAAGATGGCGTCTCATGGAGACATAGCATGAGCAGTTTGAGCTACTCCAGGAAGTGACATTGCAGGCTAGCTCAGTGCTGCCCCCTCTCATTGAGTAACTAAAGTTGAAGTCCGACCGGGGTACTTGCAGGCTGCCATTAGCAACTAAATGATCCTTATAACTTCTTCTGTGTGCGATCAAGGACATACATGTGGTGTATTAAAATAAATTACTGGTACCGTGAATGTTTGTAATTTGTGATCTTCTGAAGACCCCTCCAGACAGACGAGCAGTCGTTTGTTTGTTGTTCTAGCCTCTCCTTATGTTGTCCTTTGGCTGCTTTAATCCCCTTATTCCGATTCTGTTTTGCCACTCTGTAGTGGTCCATGTTGCCACTCATATGTGCCTCTTCCTTGGCAGAGTGTAGGCCTCTCAGCTCTGCATTGAACCAGGGTTTGTTGTTATTGAATGTGACAAAAGAACTGGTTGGAATGAATACAATATTATGGACAATGACGGTCGATGGCAGGAAAATTCGTTGTCCTTTCATTGGCTTTTTCTAGAGGTGGGGGAACTGACTGCCAGGAATCTGAGAGAGAGAGAGAGAGAGAGAGAGAGTTGAGGTATAAAAATCCCTTTCAGAGGGGATTGCTGTCTTTGAGCAAAGATAATCAAGAGGTGAAAAAGACAGTTGGACGCCAGTTCAACTAATCGACTATGAGGATTACTGAGCAACCTTAGAATTTGTTTCAACACCTCAAAAGCAGAATGAATTTGCTTGCAACACAACAGCAAATCACAACAACTCAGAACCAGAAGCAGAATGAAAGTGCTGTGCAGGCATAGATGTAATCAATATAATTAACAACCAAACCAAACCTGCCTTCCAAGGATTCGAACCTGCAACCTCCTGAAGTTTAGAGCTTTCTGTTACGCATATTAATGAGAAAATGACCTTGAAATTAAATCTATTGAGATGTTTGAGACTCTGTAAAGGGTTTACGTCATTATAGTGACATATAACCAGGAGTGAATTAATATCAAAAGTGACGTATAACTAATATTTAAGTTTATGTAGCTACAATCACTATTCTAGTGAGACTATGTTGCAGTATTATGTATAACTGTACCTAAGTACCATAAATAAGGAATAAATAAGAAATGTTAAGGTTAGCTTTGTCCTCTTTACAGAGGCTTCGGGCTCTCTAAGACATCAGGGTATGCCCTTTGAGCTACACTGCATCCTTATCGGGTTTAAATGGAAAGAGTGGAAATGTGGAAAAGAAAAGAACCGCTTGTAATTTTCCTTCTGCCTTGATGGTAAAGGTGAAGTGTGGTTTGTTTTTAAGTGCTGTTGTTTGATGAGTCAATATTTTATTTGACAGATGGTAGTCTTTTCATTTACAGAGGCCTCGGACCATTTTTTTTTTTTTTTCAGAAGTCTTCTATCCTCCATTCCCCAAGTCAGTCAACCCTTCAATTTGACAGGGAGGTTTTGGATTAGAGATTTTATGTTGCTCAGTTTTGATGCCATCCAGACAGACAGCACACACGACTACAGTTCCAGGCGAGTCTAGGTGAAATGATGCAGACAGACGCATCACAGTTTCAAGTCAAGAGTCTTGTTGTGCAATACTCACTTCTATCGTCATATTCGATCTTTGAATACCCGTTGGATTCCACTATACTTGATGCACTAGAAAATGTAAGGCCACATAACTCATACAAATCCAGGTGGAGATTTGATATAAGAGACAACACAGTTTTAATTGGTTGCTAAATTGGCTGCACAGAAATAAAAAATAAAGAAAAGCTAATCGACCTTCAAATGAAACATGAAAAAGTTTCATGAAATAAAAGTAGTACAACTTTTCTTGTGGTGCACTGCTCTCTGAACCACTCTTCAGAACCTACACAGTGATGTACCCTTGATTGAGACAAGGTCTTCTAGGTTTAATAATCGGCCTCGTTATAGAAAACCCACACTGCTGGAACACACACACACACACACACACACAACACACCTCAGTCTGTATGATGATGCTACTCTGATGAAAATGCCCTCTAACTCAAAGGACTGTGCCCGGCCCGGAAAATGAGCTATCGATTTCAGGCATGAAAAATAAAACATTGAATGAACTTCTACATCAATGGTTGCTGTGATGTAAGGAGTCATGAGAACAAATTGTTCAGGACATTAGATGTTAGCTGCCTTCCTGATGTTACATTAAGGGTTTTCTTCCACCTTTCTAGGGACCTTTCTATCACTTGCTTATAAATACATACAAATGGTTGCACTTGTTGTAGGTGAACTGTATTGTATGATCTTCAGCCTGCTCTCCAAACCCATTTCTCTAGCTATACAACCTGCCCCCACTGTGGTTGAAACTGCCCCTCCAGGTTTGGGCTCCTCAGTCACCTCCGAATAACATACTGTATGTAGCCTGACTGATGTCAAATTTGACTGTGTGCGACCACCGCTGATTATCTACGTAAGAACAACAGAGATGATCCCATCAGTTTAATGGAGAAGCCAGAGATAAGGTACCACCCCACAATCACAGCAATACCCCAGCCTTTAAAATGTTAATTCCCCCTGTCTTTCAACCTGACATCACACTCTTAGGGTTAAATCCTCTTGAAAAACAGCCATATCTGATGTGCTAGGAGTCATAGTCAGTGCTTAGGCTCTTTAGGATCTGACCATTTTTTTCAATTTTGGCCTACAATTACATACCCAAATCTAACTGCCTGTTGCTCAGGACCTGAAGGAAGGATATGCATATTCTTGATACCATTTGAAAGGAAACACTTTGGAGTTTGTGGAAATGTGAAATCAATGTAGAAAAAGATAACACATTAGATATGGTAAAAGATAATACAGACAAAAAATATTTGAAATGCAAGAGAAAGGCCACAATATAATATTGCAGTTTAGGCGCAATTTAGATTTTGGCCACTAGATGGCAGCAGTGTGTGTGCAAAGTTTCAGATTCATCCAGTGAAGCATTGCAATACTGGACTATTTTGTATCAAGTCTGCCCAAATAAGCCGAATTGGTCAATTGATACAATTTCAAGTATGTAACTATAGAGAACATACAAAAATGATATGATAATACAAAATGTAAGTTTACACACTCCCAGGAATGTCATACATGATGAATCATTAGCTTATACACTAACTTTCACACATCTAGATGGCGGGCGGGGTGGGTGTGGAGCCAGAGACAGCAGGGGTTCAAACTGTAGAACCCAGTTCCTACATTTGAATATAAAAATGAATTTTATCAAACAAAACTATGCTACATTTTATTTCTGGGACCCTTAGGATGACAAATCAGAGCAAGATTACTGAATGTAAGTACATTATTTACCTTCAGAGGTGAATGTGTCAAACCAGTTGCTGTGATAAGTGTTTTTTGTTGTTGTGCACTCTACTCAAACAATAGCATGGTATTTTTTTAAACTGTAACAGCTACTGTAAATTGGACAATGCAGTTAGATTAACAAGAATTTAAGCTTTCTGCCCATATAAGAAATGTCTATGTCCTGGAAAGTTTGCTTTTACTTACAACAGTCATGCTAATCACATTAGCACACGTTAGCTCAACCGTCCCGTGTACGGGACAACGATCCCGTAGAGGTTAATTTGAGCCGGATCTTGCCGGAACAGGATCCGTCACCTCTCCATTTTGGAATGTTTCGTTCCGGGACCTATTTGGCCGGATCTGGTACCTCTCGTGAAATGAAAAATAATTTTCACTTTTTGCAATGTAAAAATTCTAATAAAAGCGATCAAAGATTTTTTTTAAATAAAAATCCTTCTAATTGCCTCTTCATTCTAATTGCCCCCCCCCCCCCAAAAAAAAGTAATGTGAAAAAGTAGATTTTCAGCATGGGCCTGATATTCTAAGAGTTGATTCGGGTTGGGTCGGCCCGGGCTTATGGTTTGCGTAACATTGGCTATGTGAGAAGCGCGCCTGTATCTCTCACAGAGCTAGAATGACATTCACTTTCTATGATCCCTCTCTGCTCTGATAGACATGATCCTGCAACTCTCATCTCTCCAGCGTTGCAATTCATCATTTATTTCCTTATAGAGTCATAGCCGCACAAAGGGTTCTGGAGGAGCTGCAGCTCCTCTGATGAATTGAAATACATTTGCCAAAGTTATAGAATAACTGCTGTCTGTTCAGAATAGCCTACTACACCATGAAAATGGCCATAAGGTATCCACAGAGGATCAATAGCTTCTTTTTAAAAATTGCCTAGCGGTGGATTGTGTGTAGCCCAATAACAAGGCATAGCCTATAGTCGGGAACGCGCTGCAAATCTGTCAGTGAACAGCATGCAGACAAAACAGGCCTTTTGCAATATTTCAAATACAATTGTGGGAAAACAGGTTGGAAACCAAATTGCTCCTGCTGAAAAGAGAATACTCTAATCTGTCTGCTATAGGCGAACAAAATATTTGATAAACTTCAAAATATTGTTTTTACAAAGTAGGACTATAATTTCCTCCTCATAGTGTAGCCTACAATATGTGTCTCCACACACCTAGGCCTATGCTATTGATGGATTCAAGGTCGTTTTTATTGATCTCAGATTATCATTTTGTCCGTTTCAAAGTAGCTTGTCTTTTCGATCATTTGTGCGGTATTAAAAACGATTCTGCCAAAGTCTCCAGTCATGTAAAATGATGTAGAATTGCATGAAATGCAGGGGCGCAACCTTGGTTTTAGAAGCGGGGGGGACATTTAATTTTTTGTCCAGTCAGATAAACACTCCAAACAGCTTACCCGACCGCTCGGAGGTGTCCGCATAGTCCTAAAGCACACCGTTGCCTCGTTTTGTATCACATTGGGGGAGGGGACAAAAATGCATGTCCCCCTGTCCCCAGTGAAAGTTGCACCCCTGATGAAATGCATTTATTTTTAAAAATCCCGGACCCGTGGCTACGAAAATGTTCCCCATGTGTAAATGCCTCTACTCTACTACTCTATCCACTACGCAAATGCGATGATATGCATGCAATGCTTTATTATAAAGGTGATTTTTTTCCTCATGCGTTCTGGTACCCCAGAGCTCCCCAGGTCATCCCCCTCTCGCGCTCACTTTTTGTTCCGGCACCTCCTGATTTACAAATTAAGCACTGGTCATAGTGCTTTTTTGTTGAGGCTTGAGTTTTTAGAATACACAGGAAAAACAAATATACCACATTGGAGAATTCTGCTCAGAAAAAAACATGGAGCCTTGTGCCTGAAAATGTTCGCAAGCATGTACGTATCCTGAGGGGAATGTTATGTTCTTAAGGTCATGATGTATTCTGCAAATATAGTTTATTTTTCCTTATGTGCCTTGAGACTTCCAAGATGAGCTATTAAAGGTCATAGGAAGAGAAAATCTATGTTGCTCTGGTACCCAGATCCAATAGTCAATACGACAGGTGCCAAGGAAACAGTCCGGCGACCAACACAAAACCAAACACACAAATAATGAGTCAAAAACACACCAAGACAGTCGTGAAGAGGGCACGACAAAGCCTATTCCCCCTCAGGAGACTGAAAAGATTTGGCATGGGTCCTCAGATCCTCAAAAAGTTATACAGCTGCACCATCGAGAGCATCCTGACTGTTTGCATCACCGCCTGGTATGGCAACTGCTCGGCCTCCGACCGCAAGGCACTACAGATGGTAGTGCGTACGGCCCAGTACATCAATGGGGCCAAGCTTCCTGCCATCCAGGACCTCTGTACCAGGCGGTGTCAGAGGAAGGCCCTAAAAATTGTCAGACTTCAGCCACCCTAATCATAGACTGTTCTCTCTGCTACCGCACGGCAAGCTGTACCGGAGCGCCAAGTCTAGGTCCAAAAGGCTTCTCAACAGCTTCTACCCCCAAGCCATAAGACTCCTGAACAGCTAATCATGGCTACCCGGACTATTTGCACTGTAATGTCTACACCTGTTGTATTCGGCGCATGTGGCAAATAAAATTTGATTTGATTTGAAGCTCCTGTTATCTCATCTTACATCTCATCAGCATTGAGCACAGCTGATTGTCAAACGGGTACAAGTTCAAGTACATGTTTTTAATAATATCCACATTGCAGACAGACACTGAAATACATGGATATTGCCTTGATAAATGGGGCAGCAGGTACTAGTTAAGAGCGTTGGGCCAGTAACCGAAAGGTCACTGGCTGAATCCCCGAGCCGACTAGGTGAAATATCTGTCGATGTGCCCTTGAGCAAGGCACTTAACCCAAACTGCTCCTATAAGTTGCTCTGGATAAGAGTGTCTGCTAAATGACTAAAATGTCAATTTAATAAATAGACAATAGAACATGCAAGTTGAAAAACATGACAACATTTACATTTATGTTTTGGGATGCTTAAAGAGTTGTGTTAATTAAGTGGCAAAAGTAAGGTATGGGTGACTGTTTGTATCATTCAGTCCTGGCCTGTTGAATAGAGAGCAGGTTTATACTGTGTACAACGCCACCACCACACAAATGGCTTGCAGGTGCTTGAAATTCCACCCAAGGTGTTTTCAAGTGAAAACAACTTTTAAGTTCATAATAGCAAAGCCTTGAAACTTTTAAGACCCGGCATCTGTTCACTTGTTAAAGTCCTTGGCTTAGAAGAAAGTTGTCAAAACTGGGGGAATGATTTAGCAGTCTTTTAAAAGATTTATGAAATAGTAATTTAAGTCTGACTGGGGGAATGATTTAGCAGTCACACTACGCCACACAGCATGGAGAAGTCACTCATACGGCAAAGGTATAGTTAAATATATTCATGAGATAAACAAGTAGTAGTGCTTCCATTCAATTTAAGGGTTTGTCCCACTCAAATAAGGCCAATGAAACACATAATGGCTGTACCAGCTCAAAATGTTCCATATGTGTCTGTAAAATTAATTATGCGAGAAATGTCGGTGGAAATGCTTTATGTGCAAATATAGATATAATAACCATCATAATGAAGTAATCTTGGAGTCACACGATCACATGTTGTGTAGTCCTCCCACTAAGACTCATCGGGAAAGCATGCAGTTTATGAGGCTACAGATTAAATACAGTAAGGGTGGTGATAGTGCAAGGTGATGAGCTTGATGCTCCTTTCCAATAAATATTGAGGGTCTTATTCTGGTGACATGATCATCGATGCTTGGCTACCGTTTGAGAAATAAAAATAATCTTGCTCTTTTGTTCATAATAAACTCATCATGTAGGCTACACCTGCACTGTATCTGCTAGCTGTTGGCTACAGCGCACGTGCCATTACCACAGTGGGCACACAATATTTTTGTTGTTGTGAGAAAACCATCAGTAGAGTTGAATTTTTTTTTATTAGGTTCATTGGAATTTAATCACAAAATGTATGTTTATGTGCACTAAGTCCTCACGCACAAGCCTTTTATCTGCATCAAGTCAATTTGATGGAAACACATATCAGGTGTGAAAATTCACATCTTGTTTTTATGCAGATTTTAGAATAATCGCATGAAAATCTGTCACCAATTGGATGGAAACCTAGCTACTGATGATCATCATCAGTGCATTCAGCTGCAGTAGTTCACTCAGCCATGTCTAGTTGTTTTTTCACCAGTGATACCCCATTATAGAATGTGACAATAATTGCAGTCAATCACAATATACAAGTCAACCATAATGCATTAATGTACACAGCCACTACCACATATAGAATGAGGCTCACTCACTCCTGAAAGGGACAGCCCTTACAGAAAAAAACACATGATTTCACATGTGGAAAATCACATGATTTCATGTGAAATTTCACATCTGAAAAAGTGTTTTGGAACACTTCACATGTGATCACGTTTTCACATGGAAAATGCCATGTTATCAAATGTTGCTTTACATGTTGTCACATGTTATCACATTAACTTCACATAAGATCACATGATCACATAAACATTTTTTGTGTAACTATTCATGTGTGAAATTCATGTGGTTTTTCCGTAAGGGAGTGACACACACAATATAACGTATAGGCTAGTGCACTAATGGAACTAATGGAATGTGGCATTCAGTTTTCCAATTATCCAAGAAAGTTGCTTGAATGCTTTCCCACTTGCTTGTCTACCTTTTGATTAAACTGTTATCATGCATATACAGATGGGTGTTGTTCTTTCCAATATTTTTCAAATTTTAGTACTGTAAATCATGCTATACATCACCTCTCATTTCCTTCTGTAGTAAATGGTGTTGTGAAGTCACGTGACCATGCCAGTGAGTCAACATGAATGGCTGGTCTTGTGTACGCTATGTTCAAACATAAATAGAATGGCACAATGCCTATCTTTCTTTAGCCCTCTGCAGTGTTGTGGTCGAGTCACTAAACCTCGAGTCCGAGTCGAGTCCCAAGTCCCCTGTGCTCGAGTGTCCGAGTTAAGTCAGAGTTCAAGTCTGAGTCACCAATGGTTGAGTCACTAGTCGAGTCATGAGTCGAGTCACAGGTCCCTATGGCTGAAGTCTATTCTAATACATAGCCTACTGTTTACTTTGCAGTCAGTTGGCAATGGTCTTCTCTTCTATTTTCTGTTACATAGTTGACATTGCGCCACACTCTTTGCACCAGGGGTGCAACTTGTCAGCGCTACCACTATGTACTGATTTTAATGTCTATGTGTGTAGCCTACATGATCGGAGGCAGAGCATGAGCGGAGCCTGCCTGCCTGTCTGGTCACACTACAACACTGGCGCTCTGTTTCTGGTGCATGACTATTTAGTGTCAATGCCACAATAGTGAATATGTGTTTCTTTGCCAAATACCAGGGATGAACTCTCCTTAACCTCTGATTTGGCTGCCAAACAGAGGCGGCATGCTCTCTGAAACATTATAGAAGACACACATAATTAATGCAACGATATTGAATCAGTGCCTACTCTAAATGTCTTTGTGCATGACCCTACTGCTACCAAACAGGTTCAAATGGGCTGCGGTGGGCAGGATTTCAAAACGCTGTACCGCTGTAGTTCTGTTCAATTGCAGTTAAACCCTAACATGATGTAACTGTCTTCCAGAGGAGATACATTAAGGACAAGTTTGTTCAACCGGAGCAGAGCCACAGTAATCAAAGGTTTACCTCAGTCCCAGGGGTGCGTGGGGACTATTTTTGTGATTTGATTGGCTCACATAAGGAGCACTATCAGTATAAGGCCACCTTGACTAGCTCTGCAGCTAGCTCAGGGGTCTGAACTTGTGAACATCAGCAAAAGTTTAAGCTCAATTCAAATCATGCAAATGTGACAAAGTGGATTATTCTAATAATGCATATACAGTTGAAGTCGGAAGATTACATACACTTAGGTTGGAGTCATTAAAACTCATTTTTCAACCACTCCACACATTTCTTGTTAACAAACTATAGTTTTGGCAAGTCGGTTAGGACATCTACTTTGTGCATGACACAAGTAATTTTTCCAACAATTGTTTACAGACATATTACTTAACTTATAATTCACTGTATCACAATTCCAGTGGGTCAGAAATGTTACATACACTAAGTTGACTGTGCCTTTAAACAGCCTGAAAAAATCCAGAAAATGATGTCATGGCTTTAGAAGCTTCTGATAGGCTAATTGACATCATTTGAGTCAACTGGAGGTGTACCTGTGGATGTATTTCAAGGCCTACCTTCAAACTCAGTGCCTCTTTGCTTGACATCATGGGAAAATCAAAAGAAATCAGCCAAGACTTCAGAAAAAAATTTTTGGACCTCCACAAGTCTGGTTCATCCTTGGGAGCAATTTCCAAATGCCTAAAGGTACCACGTTCATCTGTTCAAACAATAGTACGCAAGTATAAACACCATGGGACCACACAGCCGTCATACCGCTCAGGAAGGAGACGCGTTCTGTCTCCTAGAGATGAACGTACTTTGGTGCAAAAAGTGTAAATCAATCCCAGAACAACAGCAAAGGACCTTGTGAAAATGCTGGAGGAAACCGGTACAAAAGTATCTATATCCACAGTAAAACGAGTCCTATATCGACATAACCTGAAAGGCCGCTCAGCAAGGAAGAAGGCACTGCTCCAAAACCGCCATAAAAAAGCCAGACTACGGTTTGCAACTGCACATGGGGACAAAGATCGTACTTTTTGGAGAAATGTCGTCCTGTCTGATGAAACAAAAATAGAACTGTTTGGCCATAGAGACCATCGTTATGTTTGGAGGAAAAAGGGGAAGGCTTGCAAGCCGAAGAACACCATCCCAACCGTGGAGCACGGGGTGGCAGTATCATGCTGTGGGGGTGCTTGGCTGCAGGAGGGAGGAAAATTATATGGATATTTTGAAGCAACATCTCAAGACATCAGTCAGGAAGTTAAAGCTTGGTAGCAAATGGGTCTTCCAAATGAACAATGACCCCAAGCATACTTCCAAAGTTGTGGCAAAATGGCTTAAGGACAACAAAGTCAAGGTATTGGAGTGGCCATCACAAAGCCCTGACCTCAATCCTATAGAAAATATGTGGGCAGAACTGAAAAAGCGTGTGCGAGCAAGGAGGCCTACAAACCTGACTCAATTACACCAGCTCTGTCAGGAGGAATGGGCCAAAATTCACCCAACTTATTGTGGGAAGCTTGTGGAAGGCTACCCGAAACATTTGACCCAAGTTAATCAATTTAAAGGCAATGCTACCAAATACGAATTGAGTGTATGTAAACTGCTGACCCACTGGGAATGTGATGAAAGAAATACAAGCTGAAATAAATCATTCTCTCTACTATTATTCTGACATTTCACATTCTTAAAATAAAGTGGTGATCCTAACTGAACTAAGACAGGGAATTTTTACTAGGATTAAATGTCAGGAATTGTGAAAAACTGAGTTTAAATGTGTTTGGCTAAGGTGTATGTAAACTTCCGACTTCAACTCTAATACTGATAATGTATTACATTTCTATAGTGCTTATCATAGTATCTCAAAGCGGTTCATGACAGGTCAACCAATAGAGACCATGTGTTTGAAAGCTGCATCCTTCGAAGATGGAGCGCAATTCATGGCTTTAGTGGAGAGAGCTGGTCAGAGGATGTTAGATGATGGTGATGGAGTCTGCTGATGATCTTGTAGAGGGCAAGTCTGGGAACCAGCCTGACTCTTATAGCCACTGGACTTCTTCTCTTCCACTCTGTGTAGCACCGACTTGGGTGATGCCTCAGCAGCTCTGCGCACGAGAAAGTTCACCACACAAAGTTCAGAATAGTAGCCAGTAGTCCTCACTATGAGCCCTCCGCCTCAACACTGCTGAATTCCTCTATCTCCCAATACTCTCACGCTTCAGGCGACTCTTCGAATTGGCAGCCAGGTGAAACAAAAAATCTGGTACTGTGTCCAGATGCATTTTTCTAAATATTAGCCAGCTAGCTTGCTAGCTAGCCAAGCCAAAAAGTGTTAACCTGTCAGTCAATCTGCAAATCCGTGGCTCAAAAACACCAAAGGATATGAAACGTTGTACATATAAGTGTAGCCTACAAGTTTATGTAATATATGTAAGCCATAGAAAGTTGGTTGCAATTTCAATTTAATCCGCCAGGAAGACACACAGAAAGAACAAATAATGCAACAAATATTTGTGGTTTTAAAAACTCAAAATATACTAATTGGACCCACAAAAACAACTTTTTTTTTGACAAATTTAAAAGAAAATTGTTATAATCTTCCATAACATGATATCAGCGGTAGGACATGGTGGAGGTATGTCGCATATGAAGGCTAACAAAAACATATGGAAATGTCTGCTCTACCCAAAAGTACAACCCAAATAATTGCAGCCTTTTAGCCGCAAAAATGGAAGAGGGAATGTGGAAGGGGAACATAAATTGGTTAAGGACAAACTGTGATAAATAAAAAAGTATATCAGGTTTTCATTTAAGGACCAAAGGATTGGACAGCCGGCCCATATAGATTGTGCCAAAATAGTTGGAGTAGAGATTTTTGAGGGGCGGTACCGATCCCATGGCATAGTGTTTTTATGAACTGATATGCAAAACGACACCGGATTCAAAACTTTGAATCTTTCAATTTAAATTATTATATAAAAATCTTGCTACCAATAGAATGTTATTTATATGGGGGATACAATCTTCCCAGCTCTGCAGATTTTGCTGTGAAGAGACAGAATCATTAGATCATTTGTTTTGGTACTGTCCATTTGTAGCTTGTTTTTGGACACAGGTCCAGGAATGGCTAAAGGATTGCAATATTTACCTGGAGCTAACCTTGCAGATAGCATTACTGGGTGATCTGAAAAGTCATAGTCAATTGATCAATAACATAATAATACTTTTAGCAAAAATGTTTATTTTCAATTTACAATCTGTAGAAACAATGAGAATAGAAAGGTTCAGAACTTTTGTAAGACATCACAGTACAGTTGAAATATATATGGCAAGTAGAAATCCTATATGAATGGTGTTAAAAGATAGATGGGAGGTATTGAATGGAGTTGAAGGATGGGACTAATAACAACTAACAACAAATAATAACAAGATGACAAATAATGTAAGCATACTGTGTCCATTATAAGTATATAGGTTGTAGGTAGGGAGCTTTTGTGTTAGAGCACAGTTAGAAAGATATAGCATATAGAAGGAAACCGGATGGACATCATGAAAATGATCGGAGAGGTTGAGAGTAGAAGTTCAGGAGAAAAAACAAACAAAATAGAATTATTGTAAAATTGACTGTGTCCATAAAATGTAGATAGTAAGTATAAGCTGGAAGTAGAGGCCTAAGCATTGTTGTTCACTAGTTTACTCCAAGTAGGGAAAGGGTGGCAGGGTTGGAAAGTAAAAGGGGAATATATATATATATTTTTAAAGGATAGGTATGTGTATAATAATATGCCATTTAGCAGATGTTTTTATCCAAAGCGACTTACAGTCATGCGTGCATACATTTTTGTGTATGGGTGGTCCCGGGGATCGAACCCACTACCCTGGCGTTACATGCGCCGTGCTCTACCAGCTGAGCTAAAGAGGACCACTGTATGTATGTATGTATGTGTGTGTGTGTGTGTGTGTGTGTATATATTATACTTATATACACACACTGTATATATATAATCAGACTCTTCATGCTGTGTAAGAGGAAACCCGAACGGCAGTGTATAAATCTGTTCTCCCACTGTTATATATCAGATCGCTACTGCGTTACATGCGCCGTGCTCTACAGCTGAGTAGAGGACCACTGTATGTATGTGTGTGTGTGTGTGGTGTGTGTGTGTGGTGTTTGTGTGTGGTGTGTGTGTTGGTGGGGTGGTGTTGTGTGGTGTGTGTTGTGGTGTGGTTGGTGTGGTGTGTGGGTGTGGCTGTGTATTATAATTATATATATATATGACTATATTTAAGTGGGGAGAACAAATATTTATACACTGCCGATTCGCAGGGTTTTCACTACTTACAAAGATGTTAGAGGTCTGTCATTTTTATCATAGGTACACTTCAACTGTGAGAGACGGAATTTTATTTTTATTTTATTTCACCTTTATTTAACCAGGTAAGCCAGTTGAGAACAAGTTCTCATTTACAACTGCGACCTGGCCAAGATAAAGCAAAGCAGTGCGATAAAAACAACACAGAGTTACATATGGGGTAAAAAAAAACATAAAGTCAAAAATACAACAGAAAATATATATACAGTGGTGCAAATATAGCAAGTTATGGAGGTAAGGCAATAAATAGGCTATAGTGCAAAATAATTACAATAGTATTAACACTGGAATGCTAGATGTGCAAGAGATTATGTGCAAATAGAGATACTGGGGTGCAAAAGAGCAAAATAAATAACAATATAGGGATGAGGTAGAATCTAAAACAAAAATCCAGAAAATCACATTGTATGATTTTTAAGTAATTAATTTGCATTTTATTGCATGACATAAGTATTTGATCACCTACCAACCAGTAAGAATTCTGGCTCTCACAGACCTGTTCGTTTTTCTTTAAGAAGCCCTCCTGTTCTCCACTCATTACCTGTATTAACTGCACCTGTTTGAACTCGTTACCTGTATAAAAGACACCTGTCCACAAACTCAATCAAACAGACTCCAACCTCTCCACAATGGCCAAGACCAGAGAGCTGTGTAAGGACATCAGGGATAAAATTGTAGACCTGCGCAAGGCTGGGATGGGCTACAGGACAATAGGCAAGCAGCTTGGTGAGAAGGCAACAACTGTTGGCGCAATTATTAGAAAATGGAAGAAGTTCAAGATGACGGTCAATCACCCTCGGTCTGGGGCTCCATGCAAGATCTCACCTCGTGGGGCATCAATGATCATGAGGAAGGTGAGGGATCAGCCCAGAACTACACGGCAGGACCTGGTCAATGACCTGAAGAGAGCTTGGACCACAGTCTCAAAGAAAACCATTAGTAACACACTACGCCGTCATGGATTAAAATCCTGCAGCGCACACAAGGTCCCCCTGCTCAAGCCAGCGCATGTCCAGGCCCGTCTGAAGTTTGCCAATGACCATCTGGATGATCCAGAGGAGGAATGGGAGAAGGTGAGACAAAAATAGAGCTTTTTGGTCTAAATTCCACTCGCCGTGTTTGGAGGAAGAAGGATGAGTACAACCCCAAGAACACCATCCCAACCGTGAAGCATGGAGGTGGAAACATAATTCTTTGGGGATGCTTTTCTGCAAAGGGGACAGGACGACTGCACCGTATTGGGGGGAGGATGGATGGGGCCATGTATCGCAAGATCTTGGCCAACAACCTCCTTCCCTCAGTAAGAGCATTGAAGATGGGTCGTGGCTGGGTCTTCCAGCATGACAACGACCCGAAACACACAGCCAGGGCAACTAAGGAGTGGCTCCGTAAGAAGCATCTCAAGGTCCTGGAGTGGCCTAGCCAGTCTCCAGACCTGAACCCAATAGAACATCTTTGGAGGGAGCTGAAAGTCCGTATTGCCCAGCGACAGCCCCGAAACCTGAAGGATCTGGAGAAGGTCTGTATGGAGGAGTGGGCCAAAATCCCTGCTGCAGTGTGTGCAAACCTGGTCAAGACCTACAGGAAACGTTTGATCACTGTAATTGCAAACAAAGGTTTCTGTACCAAATCTTAAGTTCTGCTTTTCTGATGTATAAAATACTTATGTCATGCAATAAAATGCAAATTAATTACTTAAAAATCATACAATGTGATTTTCTGGATTTTTGTTTTAGATTCCGTCTCTCATGATAAAAATTACAGACCTCTACTTGCTTTGTAAGTAGGAAAACCTGCAAAATCGGCAGTGTATCAAATACTTGTTCTCCCCACTGTATATGTAGGCCTAATAAACTTAATCATTAGCTGTGTGCTTGTCTACAAGGCTGAAAATGCAGCTCCTCATTAAATGTATTCTTCATTTTCATTTTTAATCTGCACTTCCCTTTGCGACACAGTAACACAATTAATGTAATCCTAAATTTCAAAGGAAAACTCTATATCTCACCTGGGATTCGAACTTGCCGCAAAAAGCAACATTTTCAAGGATTTCATGTGTTTTAGTACCTTTTTATTAACATATGATGCCGTTTTGACTTCTGTTAAAGGTCTAATGCAGCTTTTTTTTCTCCTGCAATATCAAATCATTTTGGGGTAACAATTAAGTACCTAATTCTGATTGTTTTCAATTAAAAATTGTAAAAAAGAAATGAATAGCTTCTTAGGAAAGAGCAATTTCTTAAGCAAACATTTTGCTAGGACTGTCTGAGTAGGGAGGGGAAAACTGAAAAATAGCTCATATTGTTAGAGATGTTTGGAATTCTCTTTCTTATTGGTCTATTAACTAATTTACCCCCTGGAGTTGTAACCAGGCAGGCCAAAACTCCATCCCACCACAACAGGCTGAAATTTCAGGTGGTCTTTTTAATTAATTATAATTAATATGCCATTTAGCAGACGCTTTTATCCAAAGCGACTTACAGTCATGCGTGCATACATTTTTTGTGTATGGGAGGTCCCGGGGATCGAACCCACTACCTTAGCGTTACAAGCGCCGTGCTCTACCAGCTGAGCTACAGAGGACCACGGACCTTTTAAAACAGCTCTTAGACTAAAAGGGCATTATCATAATATTCACAATTTCACAGTATTATTCCAACCTCAGTGTGGAAATAAATATATATAAAACACAGGAAAATCACGTTTAAGACTGCACTGGGCCTTTAATAGGGACGCTCTCATTAAAAAAAGTGTTCTATGATGTAAACTACATAAACATTTGTTAATGGCTGATGCAGAATTTTTTACAGGGAATAATCATGTACAGCTGGTGTAGTTAGCATAGGGCTAAGTGTGGCAGGTTATCTGATGGGAAAAGCTAACATTTAACATTCTATCATGTGCAACTACATCAACGTTTTTAATTGGCTGATGCGGATTTTGAGACAGAGAAAAACGTTTTCTAATGTTTGCAAGTATGGACCCCAGGTGACAGATGTCATGGGAGCAGCTGAATTGGATGGCTGTTGTGGATTGGATGGGTATGTTGGTGAATGGACTTACCCAAAGAGGAAGACAGAGAGCAGCAGCTGACGCCTAGCCTACTCAAAGGAGTTGATGAATGCTATGCCAACTTCATATTCTAACTTAATCTTCTGCTTCATGGTCCAGCTTGCACACTGGTGCTTCTTTCATTAACAGTATTTATGTTGTCATCCGAATGAAATTTTGTGGCTTATGATGACGTATGATATGCTTCAACTGGGTGGCACATTGGAAATCTTAGACTGATTTTGTTGTTGATGTAAAGCTGATATCCCATTACCCACAAAGCCTTGTTCCAAGAGCTGTCATGAAGCATGTTCGATCAATTCTTAATGAATTAGCTTCACTGTAAAACTGTAATTTCAACATTAAAACACTGTAGAACAAACCGTAAAATACCTTAAATGTGTTTTACAGAATTAGTGCTGTAGATTGTGATATGATATGGGGGGTAGTTTAGTGTTAGCACAGAGTTAGGCAACACACTACCAGGTCACACTTCCACACTAAACACTCCATCCCCAGATGGCAGGACCAACCGGGTCAAGGGCAGTGCTCTGCCAGGAAGCCTTCTAAAGCACATCAGGTGCAGGCAATTTAGGTGAACAACTAATAATCTGCTTGGATAGGCCAAACAAGAAGAAGGAGCTGGCCCTGGACCTAAGGGAAGGTTGCAGTCTCCTGGGTACATGTACATACTGTACAGGGCCTTCAGAAAGTATTCACACCCTTTACAACCTGATTTTAAAATGTATATATTTTGTGTCACAGATCTACACAAAATACCCCGGAATGTCAAAGTGGAATTTTGTTTGCAGAACATTTTAGAAATTAATAAAGAATTCAAAGCTGAAATGTCTTAAGTTAATAAGTATTTTACCCCTTTCTTATGGCAAGCCTAAATATGTTCAGGAGTACAAATTTGCTTAACAAATTGCATAATAAGTTGCAAGGACTCATTCAGTGTTAAATAACAGTGGTTATAAAAACAAACAAAGAGAGTCGCACACTCTATGTATAAACTCCCAGTAAATTATTGGGTAAAAAAAACACAATTTATTTATACATAGAGTGTGCGACTCTCTTTGTTTGTTTTTTATAGCTTACAGTTTATTCTCAGTTGGTCAGCACCTCTACACTAAGTGATGTTCTCTGGGTGTGTGCCAGCTCATGCTTTGTATGAGTTAACGTGATTTTTGAATGACTACCCATCCTCTGTACCCCACACATACAATTATCTGTAATGTCGCTCAAGTTATTAGTGAATTTCAAGCACAGATTCAACCACAAAGACTAGGGAGGTTTTCAATGTCTTGCAAAGAAGGGAACCGATTGGATGTGTTAAAAAAAAAGCAGATGCTGAAAATCCCTTTGAGCATGGTGAAGTTATCAATTACACTTGAATGGTGTATCAAAACACCCAGTCACTACAAAGATACAGGCATCATTCCTAACTCAGCTGCCAGAGAAGAAGGAAACCGCTCAGAGATTTCACCATGTTACAGAGTTTTTAATGGTTGTGATATGAGAAAACTGAGGATGGTTCAATAACATTGCAGTTACTACACAATTATTATTAACGTGATTTTTGAATGACTACCCATCCTCTGTACCCCACACATACATTTTTTTAACCTTTATTTAACTAGGCAAGTCAGTTAAGAACACATTCTTATTTACAATGACGGCCTACACAATACTAACCTAAATGACAGAGTGAATAGAAGGAAACCTGTACAGAATAAAAATATTCCAAAACATGCATCCCATTTGCAACAAGGCACTTTAGTAAAAAGAAATTGTCCTGAATACAAAGCATTATGTTTCGGGCAAATCCAACACAACACATCACTGAGTACCAATCTTCATATTTTCAAGCGTGGTGGTGGCTGCATCGTGTTATGGGTATGCTTGTCATCGGCAAGGACTAGAAAAGGTTTTTGAATAAAAATAAACGGAATACAGCTCAGTTCGTAGAGCATGGCGCTTGCAACGCCAGGGTTGTGGGTTCGATACCCACGGGGGGCCAGTATGAAAAAAACCCAAAAACATGTATGCACTCACTAACTGTAAGTCGCTCTGGATAAGAGTGTCTGCTAAATGACTCAAATGTAAATAAGCATAGGCAAAATCCTAGAGGAAAACCTGGTTCAGTCTGCTTTCCAACAGACACTGGGCGATGAATTCACCTTTCAGCAATACAATAACCTAAAACACAAGGCCAAATATACACTGGAGTTGCTTACCAAGATAACATTGAATGTTCCTGAGTGGCCTAGTTAGTTTTGACTTAAATCGGCTTCAAAAAATCTATGGCAAGACTTGAAAATGGCTGTCTAGCAATGATCAACAACCAACTTGACAGAACTTGAAGAATCTTAAAAAGAATAATGGGCAGATGTTGTACAATCCAGGTGTGCATAGGTCTTAAGAGACCAAGCACGCCCCCATTCTCATCGACGGGGCTGTAGTGGAGCAGGTTGAGAGCTTCAAGTTCCTTGGTGTCCGCATCACCAACCAAACTACATTGACAATCAACCAAGACATCAAGAGGCAGAACCATTCTTTACATCTTTACATTTCATTAGTCTTTAAGACGCTACCAAGCGACTCCGGCCAATTAGGTTAAGTGCCTTGTCAGGGCACATACGTCATTGAGACGCTTTACAAGCGACTCCATTGGGTCGTTCACCCTAACCATGATAACCACTTAACATTGGGGGGGGGGGGTAGAAGGATCCTATCCAATCCAGGTATCTTAAAGAGGGGGTTTCAAATGTCCATTCCTAAGGAGACTGAAAATATTTGGCATGGGTCCTCAGATCCTCAAAAGGTTCTACAGCTGCACCATCGAGAGCATCCTGACTGGTTGCATCACTGCCTGGTATGGCAACTGCTCGGCCTCTGACCGCAAGGCACTACAGAGGGTACTGTGTTGGCCCAGTGCATCACTGGGGCCAAGCTTCCTGCCACCCAGGACCTCTATACCAAGAGGTGTCAGAGGAAGGCCCTAAAAATTGTCAAAGACTCCAGCCACCCTAGTCATAGACTGTTCTCTCTGCTACCGCACGGCAAGCGGTACCGGAGCGCCAAGTCTAGGTCCAAGAGGCTTCTAAACAGCTTCTACCCCCAAGCCATAACACTCCTGAACATCTAATAAAATAGCTACCCAGACTATTTGCATTGCCCCCCACCCCCCTCTTACGCTGCTGCTACTCTCTGTTTATTATCTATGCATAGTCACTTTAATAACTGTACCTACATGTACATATTACCTCAATTACCTTGACTAAGCGGTGCCCCCGCACATTGACTCAGTACCGGTACCCCCTGTATTTAGCCTCATTATTTGTTATTTTTACTGCTGCTCTTTAATTATTTGTTACTTTTATTTCGGGGTGAGCACTATGTCCTGTGCCTCCGACTCGTTGAAGTAGAAATCTTCATTCAAATTGAGGTTAGCGACAGGTTAGTTACTGTTCTGATGTCCAGAAGTTATTTTCAGTCATAGGAAATGATGGAGGAAATATTATGTACAGAAAAGTTACGATCAGAACATAAAAACACACAAATAGCAGAATTGGTCAGGAGCCCGTAAAACAGCTGCTATCCATTGCATCACCATTTCCTCGCTTTTAGGCATAGGACCCCTATACTTTAGCGAACGTATCAATATTAGCAGGCTAGTTATGGGTTTCGTAACAATTGTACTGCATTATGGGTGAAATGCTGAAAAGATTTATTCCCATTCAAAATCCTATTTTCCCTAACACCTAACCCTTACCTGAAAACCTAACCCTTGCTCCTAACTCCTAAATGTAACCTCCTTACCCTAAAACTAGCCCTAGTTCCTAACCCTAACCTAATTCTAATTCTAACCTTAACCCTAAATATTGCAAGCATTTCGCTACACCCGCAATAACATCTGCTAAATATGTGTATGCGACCAATAACATTTGATTCGAATAGCGTTTGACCTATTAGTTCTCTGAGATACAGTGGGGGGAAAAAGTAATTAGTCAGTCACCAATTGTGCAAGTTCTCCCACTTACAAAGATGAGAGAGGCCTGTAATTTTCATCATAGGTACACGTCAACTATGACAGACAAATTGAGAAAAAAAGAAATCCAGAAAATCACATTGTAGGATTTTTAATGAATTTATTTGCAAATTATGGTGGAAAATAAGTATTTGGTCACCTACAAACAAGCAAGATTTCTGGCTCTCACAGACCTGTAACTTCTTCTTTAAGAGGCTCCTCTGTCCTCCACTCGTTACCTGTATTAATGGCACCTGTTTGAACTTGTTATCAGTATAAAAGACACCTGTCCACAACCTCAAACAGTCACACTCCAAACTCCACTATGGCCAAGACCAAAGAGCTGTCAAAGGACACCAGAAACTAAATTGTAGACCTGCACCAGGCTGGGAAGACTGAATCTGCAATAGGTAAGCAGCTTGGTTTGAAGAAATCAACTGTGGGAGCAATTATTAGGAAATGGAAGACATACAAGACCACTGATAATCTCCCTCGATCTGGGGCTCCACGCAAGATCTCACCCCGTGGGGTCAAAATGATCACAAGAACGGTGAGCAAAAATCCCAGAACCACACGGGGGGACCTAGTGAATGACCTGCAGAGAGCTGGGACCAAAGTAACAAAGCCTACCACCAGTAACACACTACGCCGCCAGGGACTCAAATCCTGCAGTGCCAGACGTGTCCCCCTGCTTAAGCTAGTACATGTCCAGGCCAGTCTTAAGTTTGCTAGAGTGCATTTGGATGATCCAGAAGAGGATTGGGAGAATGTCATATGGTCAGATGAAACCAAAATATAACTTTTTGGTAAAAACTCAACTCGTCGTGTTTGGAGAACAAAGAATGCTGAGTTGCATCCAAAGAACACCATACCTACTGTGAAGCATGGGGGTGGAAACATCATGCTTTGGGGCTGTTTTTCTGTAAAGGGACCAGGACGACTGATCCGTGTAAAGGAAAGAATGAATGGGGCCATGTATCGTGAGATTTTGAGTGAAAACCTCCTTCCATCAGCAAGGGCATTGAAGATGAAACGTGGCTGGGTCTTTCAGCATGACAATGATCCCAAACACACCGCCCGGGCAACGAAGGAGTGGCTTCGTAAGAAGCATTTCAAGGTCCTGGAGTGGCCTAGCCAGTCTCCAGATCTCAACCCCATAGAAAATCTTTGGAGGGAGTTGAAAGTCCGTGTTGCCCAGCGACAGCCCCAAAACATCACTGCTCTAGAGGAGATCTGCATGGAGGAATGGGCCAAAATACCAGCAACAGTGTGTGAAAACCTTGTGAAGACTTACAGAAAACGTTTGACCTGTGTCATTGCCAACAAAGGGTATATAACAAAGTATTGAGAAACTTTTGTTATTGACCAAATACTGATTTTCCACCATAATTTGCAAATAAATTCATAAAAAATCCTACAATGTGATTTTCTGGATTTCTTTTCCTCATTTTGTCTGTCATAGTTGACGTGTACCTATGATGAACTTTACAGGCCTCTCTCATCTTTTTAAGTGGGAGAACTTGCACAATTGGTGGCTGACTAAATACTTTTTTTCCCCACTGTACTTGGGGGATATTTAAAAATGGGTTTCAATTATGGGTCAGTATCAATAATGTACCAGTGCTTCCTGATAATGTCCTTAAATGCCTTCCCCAATGGTGAGTATTGGGTAAAGCATGAAGGGACATGTTCTGCTTTTTCTTTAACTTTTGGTTGAAGGCTTTCCAGCTATGTTAGTCCTTCAAAACTATCATTGTTTTACCCAATTGTCTTTGTACCCCCTTTCCTTAAACCTCTGTGTGAGGTCCGTGGTCTGTTTCTGATAAGAAGCATCAGAGCTGCATATTCTTTTGATGCGACTGAATTGACTTATAGGGAGACTTTTCATAAGTGGATGTGGATAAAAGCGGTCACCTCTAAGGAGGGTATTCCTGTCCGTAGGGTTCCTATAGAGATCTGTAAAGAGGGAGGTTTTGTCCTTAATAACCATCACATCAAGAAAACTGATTTGTGATAGGTCATAGTTAATGGTGAAATGAAGGTGTTCATTCATAGAGTTTAGATAAGCATGGAATTTCAAAAGTTCTTCCTGGGTCCCTGTATAGATCACGAAAATGTCATCCAAATATCTCAGAATTAGGAGAATATTGGAGAGAAAAGGGTTAAGGTCTGGATTCAGCACCACCTGTTTTTCAAACATTCCTAGATATAGGTTTGCATAATTAGGAGCCGGAGTGCTCCCCATCGCTGTCCCTTTGGTCTGGAGGAAAAAGTATCCTCTGAAGAGAAAATAGTTGGAGGTTAATACCAGTTCAGCCAGGTCACAATACAATTGGTGCTGGGGAAAGTATTAGGGGGACATTCATTGAGGTAGAACTTGAGGTTCTCTAGGCAACCCTGATGGGGGATGTTAGTATATAGACTGGTAACATGAAAAGTACACAGAATAGAATTCTCAGGTATATGGTCCACAGATTTAAATTTTTTTATAAAATCAATAGAGTCTCTGGTATATGTGGGGAGGGAGATCGCCCAGGGTTTAATAAAAAAGTCTACAAAGGTACAGATATTCCCTGTCAGAGATCCGTTGCTACTCACAATGGGCCTGCCTGGTAGAGGTGGTGTCATGCTCTTGTGAATTTTGGGGAGAGCGTATATGACAGGTGTGGTTGGGCAGTCAACTTTCATATACTCATATTCTGTCTTTGTAATTTCCCCTTCATTCAAAAATGTTGACAATTTATCATGGATCAGAGACCTGAATTGATTAGTAGGGTCCTTAAGGAGTCTTTTGTCAAATTCATCATCACTAAGTTGTCTCAGAATTTCCTTTTCATAGTCTGCTGCATTTAGTATCACTATTGCACCTCCTTTGTCAGCCGGTTTTATAATGATACTGGAGTAATTTTTGTGTTCCATAAGAGATTATTTCTCTGCTTTGGACATATTGTGGAATACCTTGTATTCTTTTTTCTTAGCCAGGAGATTATGTACATCTTTCTCAACTAGGCGGCAATATGTTTCAAGAGAGGGATTTCTTTTAGGTTGTAAAAATGCTTTTCCTCTTAAAATATGTATTTTCCCTTGTCATGTCCTCAGGGCGAGAGTCAGGTTCATTGTCATTCAGGTTATCAATGGGAAAAACGTTAGCACCATTACCTGTCTGGTTACTAATATCCTTCAATAGATTAACATTGGCTGGTGTATAGCGAGCAAACCCATTACCCAAAAAACTCCGTCAATCTCAAACTGCGGGAAAACTTTTGAAAGTCTATATCTCTCCATTTGGTTTATTTTTGTTCATTTACTATTCTTCTGGGGACTTCTGGTCCCCACAAGTAGGGCTGTTGCGGTCATTACATTTTGTCAGCCGGTGATTGTCAAGCAAATAATTGCCGGTCTCACGGTAATTGACTGTTAATTAACATAAACACATTTAGCATCTCCTGGCTTCTACGCATAGCCTACAAGCCACTGATGCAGACCTTTGGAACATCATTTTATAAAGTCTAATAAATCCATGTAATATAGCCTACACCATCACAATAAATCCATTATTTATTTTAGACAGGTGTAAAAAAACATGATATGAAGAAAATGTATTCTATTTCATTTTACATTTTACATTTTAGTCATTTAGCAGACGCTCTTATCCAGAGCGACTTACAGTTAGTGAGTGCATACATTTTCATACTTTTTTCATATTCAGAAGAACAGAATAGCATATTCTGAGTTGTCCTTATGTTAGGCCCTGATCTGGCTATGCCTGGCTATATGGCTGTGGGCTACACTAGTTCATTTAGCAGACAAGATTTGCTAAGAATTCCGTGGCATTATTATTTTTTATTTTTTGTGTGGCCGTAATGCCCCCTAAAAAAATCCATGCCTTTGTGCCCTTGGGCTGAATATAATAATTATAATTCCCTGCTGCCCTGCTCCCCCGAAGCACCTCGCTCTCTCAGATGTAGCCAATGCCCGTCACGTGATTGGGTCCTTCTCACAGGCATTTCAGCTAAGTAGGCTACAAGTGAATGAAGACAGACACATCGGGGACGCAACTGCGCGCGCCCCTCTTATCGAATTCCGAGGTGCATATTGAAGATGTTAGAACTGTCCACATTTAGGCTACTTTTCGTCAGCCAACAAGATGAGTAGGCCTAACTAACAGCAAAAGCACTAGCCTACTATCTGCTATCCCCCATACTACAAAAGTTGACCTATTCTGTGCAATAAATGAATATTCCAAACATACTCTGGGACAGTTGTGGAATGCGATAGATCCTAAATGAATACAACCACTACCATCAAAAAAACTGGTAAAAGCTGATGTACAGATCAGAACGTTTAGCTTAAAGTGTTGATAAACTATTAGGCTATTTCCAAGCTGGGCATCATTCACAAGTGATAGGCTAATATTGTCACCATCAGACTATTCTTAATTTAATTATGTCTTTACATATACTAAACTAATATATGTGTGAAATTTGTTTTGATTTAGAATGGACCATTATCATGCCCCTGTCTCGGAACAGGGGCATGGGAAAAAAAATACATGAAATCTATGCACTTAAAGAGTGAATGGAGGACACTTTTCCCATGGTTCATTTTCATGCCAGCGAGGTAGGGGCTGTACTCCTGTAGTAAAGTGAAGCAATGTGCTTAATATTAGGAAAGTTGATAAATAAAAATAGTAAGCCTATATAAAGCTGATGGGATTTTTAATAGAGGCCATCAAAACTGTTTTCTCACGCAATTGCATAGCCTATAGAAAGGTTGCGCAACATGAGCTCATGGGCGCTCTTGAAGTGTTTGATTAGATTTTGGATAACATTTGCATTGATGTCAGAGTGATTGAGACAATAGAGTGCTGAGTACCAGACAGTTAGCACGTTTAGTAGGCTACTAATGACCATCAGCAGCATCAGAGCTTGGAGAAGCCTAATTACCATGACTAAACAGTCCCGTGGAAGTTGACTGCCATCATGACTCGCGACCGCCGGTGTGGCGGTAATACAGTCACCTGTCACGACTTCCGCCGAGGCTGCCTCCCCTCCTTGTTCGGGCAGGTTTCGGCGTTCGGCGTCACCGGCTTACTTGCTACTGCCGATCCATTTATCATCACTCCATTTGTCTTTTCTTCAATCACACACACCTGGTCCTTATTCCCTCATTAGTCATTGTATAAGTGTTCCCTCTGCTTCCTTGTCTGTGTGGGTGATTGTTTATTGCGGAGGTTAGTGAAGCTCGGTGGTGCTCGTGTATTTTGTATCGACGGGATTATTTCCCGTGTGCCTTGTATTTTCCAGTGCGCCTGTTTTGTGCCCTGGAGTGTGTTTGACCCATTTCTGCGTAAACCTGTATTTTGCGGATTAAAGCCTGTTATTCTGTGATTTACCCTCCTGCGCCTGACTCCTTCAACACCACCTCATCACATCACCATAACAGCCCTACCCACAAGTATAGTTAAACAGGTCCACACACACACATGACACCAGATTGATATGAGTTACAGCCCTGGTACTCTCTGTCGCTCATTCTATTCTTTCTGTTTCTATGCTTGCCCTAGGGGTGAGAGGAGCTGACAAATCAGAACTGAGGAGGATTGCTATGGAGCCCCATGACTTACACCTGATGCTTTGCTGACTTCTCTCTCCTGGATGATCTCCTGCCCAAACTGTCCCGTTATGGCCTCCGCACCGCCTAGGTCCACCGATGTAGGGACATGAGGGCCGACAGTGGCAGAGCAGCCCCAGCCAGGGGGAACACCGGGTTCCTTTGCTACTGATACCCAGTATAATCGCGCTGAGCAGCAGCCCGTCCCAAAGGCTGGCGTGGCACCTACCGAGCCACAGACACAGGTTTTCGCAGGCAATGAGGATTAATCCATTGAACTGGTTTCCAATACGGAGGAGGATGTGGTGCCCAGTGCTTGTGGTGGGGGGCGGGGAGGGAGTGGTGAGAGTCATGTGGTGGGGGGGAGTCAAGCGGCTGAGGCCACTGTTGATGAAGATGAGGAGGAGGAAATGGGAAACGTCAACATGTCGGAGCCGGCTGGTGACAACTCGCTATATATACACTAGAGGTTACCAGGTTCCTAGATCAGACTTTTGTAAAGTCAGTTAAAGTATTTTTTATAAAGATACGTTTGTGAGGTCAGCTGCAGTTTTGCAGAAGACTGTGAGGTTAGACGAGTTGAGTAAGAAGAATCCAAGATGAGTTGAGTAAGAAAATCCAAGATGGCGAAGTAGTGCAGTCCTGTTTCTGTCGTGTGTCTGTAAATAGCCTGTAAATACCTTGTTTTTTTTTGTATTTTTCGTACCTATTTCCCTATCAGACTTTTCATCCTTCTACAAAATATACTTTCCTGCAACCCGCCTCACTCAATGTGGAACGGACTCTATTATTGACTTACCTTTTATCTAGAATCTCCAGTGAAACTAGCTAGCCAGCTAGCCAGCTAACTAGCTACCTGCTATTAGCCTTAGCTAGCGGTGTTTCACCCAGAACATTGGATTTTCTTCTGCGGGATTAATTTTAATCACTGGACATTGATCACCGGATATTCGGCCAGTCTGCACAGCGCGTTATCGACCCAGAACATATCAGTTTTTCCGCTGGAACCATTGAATCACTGGACCTTTAACTCCGGATTCGTCGCTACCAGCTAGCTACAACAAAACGGACGCTGTGGTCTGGCTAATTATCCTGAGCAAAGCCCATCTCCCGGCTATCTACCTCTCTGTCAACCGGACGGGACCACCTAGTATTGACACGGAGCCCCGCCGATCCTACACGACTGGTCTGCCGACGAAATCGTCTGATGTGGTTACGACGTTAACCACGAAGATTCCATCCATCTGCTAGCCCTGGCCCGTTAGCACACGCTAGCCGTGGCCTCTTACTCACTAGTTTACCACCGGACCTTATGATAACTCAGCTATACAGCTGATATCTGCTGGACTGTTCCTTTTTACGGTACTACATCCTGTTTATGTTTAGCCTCAGCCCAAACATGGTTAGTTTATTGTTGTTTCGGTTATTTCTAATTGTACTATATCACTGCAGACCCCCCAGCCTAGCTAAACTTGCCTTAGATAGCTCCTTTGCACCTCCTCCAATACACGCGGAGACCGACTCAATTTATGCCTCTAGAGATACCTCCAGCGATGCTATCTCTTTCATCGTTACCCAACGCTTAGGTTTACCTCCACTTTACTCATATCCTTCCATATCCTTGTCTGTACATAATGCCCTGAATCTTTTCTATAACACCCGGAAATCTGCCCCCTTTATTCTATGTACCCAACGCACTAGAAGACCAGTTCTTAAAGCCTTTAGCCGTATTCTTATTCTAGTCCTCCTCTGTTCCTCTGGTGATGTAGAGGCTAACCCAGGCCCTGCAGCCCTCAGTATCACTCCTACTCCCCAGGCGCTATCATTTGATGACTTCTGTAATCGCAAAAGTCTTGGTTTCTTGCACATAAATATCAGAAGTCTACTTCCTAAGTTTGAGTTATTCACTGCGTTAGCACACTCTGCCAACCCTGATGTTCTAGCAGTGTCTGAATCCTGGCTCAGGAAGGCCACCAAAAATTCTGAAATTTCCATCCCCAACTATAACATTTTCCGTCTAGATAGAACTGCCAAAGGGGGTGGAGTTGCAATCTACTGTAGAGATAGCCTGCAGA